CCTAGCAAGTTGGTAATGATGAAGCCAGAGTTATTCTGTTGTGGCAGCTTGCTTTCACAAATGTGAATGAAGACATTCTTAGTTCATTAAGACCTGCCTAGAAAGGCATTGCTTGCTGTTTGCAACCCGCATACTTATGACATAGCAGATATGGTTGGAGCATGCCAAAATGTGGGAACTACTGCTTACAATACTAACTCTCAAGCAGCGGCTTTAGCCGCACACTTCCAGGTTTTGGACACACAGGCGGGGGGTTGTTTTAAGTGCTGTTCAATGGGTCATTTTAAAAAGGATTGCCCTCAACAAAGGGATGGGATAAAAATACCACCTAGAGACTGTCCTTGGTGTGGAAGAGGGAAGCATTGGACTGCTGAATGCCGCTCCCAGTACCCTGTAAAAGGGAAAGCTACACAGCTGGGCAGCTTCTGGCAGGGGGTGGGTCTGTGCACCCCAGAGAATCAAAAAAATGCAAGGCAAAACATGTGGTAAGCAAGCCTGCCTGCACACAGGAAGTGTAGGGCTGGACCTTGCCTCCAGAGACTTAGTAACTCTCATGACATCTTCAGTGCACTTAGTTCCTACTGGAGTGGGGACCCCTTGGTAATAACATCCATGCTTTGCTAATAGGGCATTCCTCTGCCACTAAATTGGGACTTTCTGTACTACCTGGAGTTATTGATTCGGATTATGAAGGCAAATTACAAATTATGCTATGGACTCCCGTGCCACCTTGCTTTATACCTGCAGGCCAATGTACAGCACAACTTATACCCTTCCCCAGTGGCAAGGGTAAACATGGCACAAATAACTTTGGTAGCACAGGTCAGCCACAGGTTTTCTGGACAAGCTCTATTACAACAGCTCAGCCAATCTTACATTGCAGTATAGATGGCAAAAATTTTAAAAGGCTTGTTGATACTGGAGCTGATGTCTCTATTATTAAAAGCAATGAATGGCCTAGTAATCAGCCCACAATCAGACCCACATCAACCCTAATTGGGGTGGGAGGAATGCAGCGCCCTAGACCTAGCGCTCACCTTCAGCTTGTCCTTGGCTCTGATAGGCAAACTGCCCAGATTGCCCCATTCACTGCCTCTATACCATGCACATTATGGGAAGGAGATGTTCTGGGACAATTTGGAACAACCGTACAAATAGACTCAACCTCACTGGAGAACCTTTTTTCATAGGGGCCATTGATCAGCCATTCCAAAATCAAACACTGGACATAGGTAAACTCACATGGTGGACTGAAGACCCTGTGTGGGTTGACCAATGGCTCCTATGAAAGGAACAGCTACTATATTTAAAACAGCTTGTGGAAGAGCAATTGCCCTTAAGCAATATATGCCCATCTTCTAGCCCCTGGAATGCCCCTGTATTCTGTATACCTAAGCAAAATGGCAAGCTGCGATTATTGGAGGATCTACAGGCAGTAAATGCAGTTATTGAACCTATGGGGGCTCCACAGCCTAAGCTTCCATCACCCACAATCATTCCCCTCAATTGGCCCTTAGTAATTTTAGACCTAAAAGACTGTTTTTTCACCATCCCTTTACATCCTGATGATGCACCTTGGTTTGCCTCTTCTGTGCCTACCCTGAATCATGCAGAAACAATGAAGAGATTTCATTGGAACATGTTGCCACAAACCATTTGTAACAGTACAACTACATGCTAAAGGGTAATCAATCTTGCCCTACAGCCTGTCCATCATAAATTTCCTGCTGCAACCATATATATTATATGGATAAGATTTTATTTGCAGCTCAATCCATTTTATGTTCTATTCAGGTAGCTGTCATGCAGGCAATTCAAAATGCAGAACTCATTGTGGCACTTGTAAAGCTACAACATGAGTCCCTGTGGCATTATCTGGGATGTAGAATTACTCAACAGACCATCAGCCCTCAGCCTTTAAAGGCTTTGTGTTAAAGACACCAAACTTTAAATGAATTACAGAAACTCCTAGGTTACTTGAATTGGTTGTGTCCTGTTTTGGGTCTATCTATAAAACTTTTGCACCTTTTATTTGACTTACTCAGAGGAAACCCCTACCCGTATTTGCTCTGACAGCTGACCCCAGAAGCTAAAACTGCCTTTGCACACTGTGCTCAAGCACTAGAAAACCGACAAAATTGGAGGTGGGATCCTGATTAATCTGTGTACCTTGTTATAATTGCTAGCAAATTTCAACCTTTTGCTGCTCTGTTTCAATGGTTTGTTAATGATAAAGACCTTTTACATGTGTTAGGATGGTCATTCTTACCTCACACAGCAACAAAGACTGTGTGGACTGTTAATGGTATGTCCTCTAATTTAATTAAGAAAGGCAAAGAGTGACTACAAACTCTGAGTGGCCAAGATCCACATACCATTTACATACCTGCAAGTAAAGGCATAGCAAGAAATTTCATATGGTTACTATCAGAAGACACTAACTTTCAAATTGTACTTGCAGATTTTTCTGGACAATTATCCATTATTCCATTGTTTATGGACAGAGATGGGTAACCTCCCCTCGTACGCAAAGCGTCGCTGCATCATGACCCCCGCCAACGGACCAACTTTTTACAGACACATCCAGCAAAACCAACAAAACTGCAGTGGTTTGGTGTGGAGGTGACTCTGCCCAGTGGCATAAAAGGGTATTAATGTTAAAAGATGCTTCCGTATAAATTTTAGAGTTGGCTGTTATCCGATATGACTTTCAGTTATTTTCACAGGAACCACTTAACATCATAACTGATTCCTCATATACTGCCAATGTTGCATTCTGTTTAGAATCTTCCTATTTAAAGCATATTAATAACCATCTTTTCTTTACAGAGTTAAGAACACTGTGGACTTTGATTAACATCCAGCAGCATGATTTTTATGTTACATGTTTGCTCCCACACAGGTTTACCTGGGCCTATTGCAGAAGGTAGTAACTATGCAGATATTACTGTGATGACAGGTGTGGTACCAAATACTTTTGCTCAGGCCAAGTTATCTCATGACTTTTTCCACCAGAATGCTTGTTCTCTTCACAAACAATTTCAATTGATCTCCTCACAGGCTTGTGATATCCTGTTGTCTTGTCCCTCCTGTCGTGGGATTGTTCCTGTTCCTAACTCCGTTTGGCAAACTGATATTACCCCAGAGTTTGGTCATTTGAAATATGTTCATGTTTCTGTTGACACATATTGCCATTTCCTAATGGCAACTTCTCATACCGGAGAGAAGGCCTGTGATTCTATGCAGCACTGGCTCACCTGTTTCACCACTCTGGGCCTTCCCAACACCATCAAAGGACCTGCCTACACCTCAGAGCAAGCTGGTAACTTCTTGCAGCAATGGGGTGTGTTTCACCATACAGGCATTCCCCACTCTCCCACAGGGCAAGCTATTGCTGAGCATGCCCACAGAACCCTAAAAACCATGCCTGAAAAACAAAAAGAGGGGGACGTGCGGTGCCCTCATGGCAGACTAGCTAAAGCCTTGTATGTCCTCAATTTTTTAAATTGGGATGAGATGAGACAAACTGCATGCAAGAGACAGTATTCCTTCAACACAAAGGCTCATCTAAGACCTCTAGTAATGGTAAAGGACTTTGGTAAATTAAAATTTAATGATAAATGGTAAATTAACTGGACAGTAGAAGGGACCCCTGGACTTAATGACATGGGGAAGAGGTTATGCCTGTGTTTCCACAGGCCACCAGGTGGAATCCATCACGGTGTGTGCAACCTGTTGTCGCACCATCCTGACTCTATGTGCATATAGTTGCTATTTTATAAGCACGTTACAGTTTTTAAACAGTTTTTATAATTATTGTTGTCACTGTTATTAATGTTTTAGGAGTTGTTTAGGTTTTTTCTAGTAGGTTTTCGTTGCCTAATTAAAAAAAAAAAACAAAACGGGGGGAGATGTGGGATATGGGGGTATAATTGTTAAAGTTGCTAAGGCTTGTGCTGACCAGAAGGCCCTGTGGAAAAGGCACAGCTGCAGACGGGTGGAACTCAGCTGAGGGGCGAGAGGCAGTTATGAGTGAGGAGTCAGCTGAGTGACAGCTGGAAGTGAGGTTGTGATTGGCTGGAGGAATGCGTGGACAGTGGTGAGCAGGAAGCTGATTGGCTGATAGGATGTACAGACAGCAGCACTGCAGCTGAGCCAGCCAATGGGTGCACTCTTTCTGTTAAATTCTGTTAGGCCTCGGTTTGGTTTCAGTTATGTCAGGTGGAGATTAAAAGGTATAAAAAAGGGGCAATTTCTATAATAAAGCAATCTCCTTTGGATGCATAAGGGGGTCCGTGTTGCTTTGTTCCCCATTGCTACAGTTTTTGCAAGCCTGATTTATATGAATCAAACCACCAGTGAAAAGCACAAAACTGATTCCAATACCTGTCATACCACACTGCAAACATAACAGAAGAAAACAAGCTGAGATAAAAGATATTTGCTGTCAAAAGACAGGGGAATACCTTCTGAAAGCCACGTTGGCTTCCTCTTAAGAAATTAAACAAGAGTGCAAAAATTAAACCTCCTCGAGATTTCAGATTAAAGAAAGTGTCTCATGTTTTGTTTAGCACATCACAATGGCAGGGTAGTTTGTGACCTGGAAGCTGCAGCCAGTAGGAAAAGCAGCTAATTATTTATAAACCCTGGTCCTGTTAGTTTCTTCTGATCTGCTGCACTCTGAAGGCGTCCTAAAACTGGCATCAGCACCAAACTTTTGAAAACCTGAACCCTGCCTGAGAGTAATTTATAGCACGTGAGCTATTGTTTGCTGGTTCCCTGGGAAGACATCCTTGTGGACAGTGAGGGCAGAGCAGCATCCACAGATTATCTCCACACCTTGAATCATCTGGGGAAAGCTGGTACACACAGACTCACATAGTCTCAGCTCCTGCCCTGAGATCAATGTATTTTAACTCCTGGATTGGCACACACCTGAATGACTGGGAAATAGCTGCACGAGATGAGCTGGCCAAGGGATTCATATCAGCAAGCAGTTGCAGAGAAGAGGAGGTTTATCTTTTGTATGCTTGTTGCCAAGACAAGAGTACACAAGACAGAGATAAGGTCAGAGCTCTCCTGTTTCATGTGGAAATCCAGAGTGTGAGCAAGTCACTCCTCAACTTGCTCAGCTGCTGTAAGACACCATGACCATCTCTTAGATTAAAACCATAAATAATTTTTAAAATGCAGACCAGTAGCATGACATTTAAAGGGCACCCTTCTCAAGCCTGTGCTCTTCAACATCCACATTAAAGAACTGGATGCAGGACTTGAAGGAATACTAAGGAAGTTTGCTGTCTGCAGTGAACTGGGAGGAGCTGGCAAGTCTCTCAGGGCCAGAGAGGGCCTCCAGAGAAACCTTGACAAATCAGAGAAATGGGCAATCACCAATCATGGGAAGTTCAACAAGGGAAAGTGCTGGATTCTGCACGTGGGAAGGGGCAAGGCTGGATGTGTGGGTGGACTGGGGAATGAGGCTGAGAGCACCTGCAGGAAGTGACTTGGGTGTCCTGGTCCATGGCAAGTTGAACCTGAGTCAGCAGAGCCCCGGCAGCCAGGAAGGACATCTGTGTCCTGGGGCATTAGGTAAAGCATTCCTGGTCAGGCAGGAGATTGTCCTGCTCTGCTTTGGGACAGCCCCACCTCAAGTGCTGGGGACAGTTTTGGGCCCCACAAGATAAAAAAGACATTAAGCTACTAGAACCATCCAGAGAAGGGCCATGAGAATGGTGAAGAGCCTTGAGGGTAAGCCATATGAAGACTGGCTGAGGGCACTTGGTCTGTTCAGATGGAGGACACTGAGGTCAGACCTCGCTGGGATCTTCAACATCCTCCTGAGGGACAGCAGAGCAGCAGGAACCAATTTCTTCACTCTCCTGACCAGGGACAGGACTCGAGAAAATGGCTAGAGCTGTGTCCAGGGAGGGTTAGGCTGGATATCAGAAAGAGGTTCTTCCCACAAAGGCTGGTTGGGCACTGAACAGGTTCCTCAGGGAATGGGTCACGGCCCCAAGGCTTCCAGAACTCAAGGAGTGTTTGGACAATGCTTTCAGGCACAGGGTGGGATTGTTGGGGTGTCCTGTGCAGGGCCAGGAGTTGGACTTGATCTTCACAGGTCCTTCCCAACTCAGTATAGTCTGTGATTTTATGACATCTAAAATGCTTGCTCTACTCTCAGGGCATTCGTCCTTAGCAGAACTCACTTGAAGTGATGCCAGGCATGGTACAAGGCACTGAGGTCCTGGGTGTGCAGAACGGCATCACACACATGTCACCAGAAGGAGATGAAGAAGCTCCAGCCCAAAGTCCACATGCCTCATGGCTGAAGGGTGGGGGGTTTGCAGTACTTGCACTGGATCCACACCCGATACATTGTCATCTGTTTCCCACGGTTCACTTGCAATCTCCGATCAACCAGATTCTGGATTTTTTCCAGCCCAGCTGTGGTGAACAGATGATCTAATTCATCTGGAAGCAAAGAGAAGGACACTGAGGAGACCAGTTCTTTAACTGATACCTGCTCACACTGAGGGCTAAGCTAAGCTGAAAGATGGGCCAGAGGAAACCCATGGTCTCACCTTGGCAGGAAAATGATCAAACAAGACTTTACTACTTTACTAGGGGAGTTTAACATCACAGTTTTTCAAGTTTTCCTTCTAGCAAAGAAGGAAATAATTATTTGGAGTACATCTAGAACTAGAGACTTGACAAAGGAAACAACAGCAGTTTCAAATAAGGATACTGCTTGTAGTAACCAATTAAGGAGCATCTTCTGGCAAGCTGGGACAGAGCCATCCCTTCCCCCCTGCCCAGAGGAATTTCAGAGTCCACAAGAGCAAAGAACAGGAGCAGACCTATGCTTTTAAATAGTGGCAGTTAGATCTGTGCTGCCTAGGCTGGAGGGGGATGGGATTCATTAAGGTTAAATTTGGAAAAAAAAAAAATCCCTCAACCCCACACCCTGTTGGGGCCCAATTAAAGCACTAAGAGCCCTTGAGGCTTCAACAATTCCACTGGCAGGTAATCCTGACAAATAAGTCTCACAGTGCCCCAGTCCTGCTGAGTAGCAGAGCTTACACCCAGAGCACGTGGTTTGTCTGGAGTTTCTGTAGGAAAAGTCTGACAGGTCTCAGCTTGTGCTTCTTTATCAGATACTTTCCATTGTGAGATGTTCGCCAAACATGCATTAAACATTAATTTTTTATTGTGCCAAACAAGACTCGTGCAGTGGGGAACAGTTGTGCCACTGCTCTAGAACTGACAGTGCACAGGGGCCTGTAGTGGAGGGACTGGAGGTGCAGCCGGTGATAAACTGGGAGAATAACAATTGCTGCTAACACCAAGCAGCAGCAGAACTGGAGGGGCTGCCTCAGCTCCATGCTGAACCACACCCTTCTGATTTCCTTACAGGAGAGCAGGAAAATTAAGGGAAGTTCTGCTAAGCGGCATCCATCGCTCTCCATCATCTGCAGCCCATATACAAGGAGAGCTCCTCCAATCCCACCCCTCCAGGGTAGCAAACACACCAGTCTTCCTCTTAAAGGATTTTCCACTAAGGAAAGTGACCATGCCGTGCTTGCACCAGAAGCTGACAAGCCCAGGTCACTGTTTAATTGGGAGATACTTAACATTTCACAGTGCTCCAAGAAAAAGGCTGAAAAGACCTTGTGGCAAATCTGGAGGGCACAGGGACTAGTGGTCAAGCGAGTCAGAGGGATGTTTTTTGATGGTCAGAGTCATGTTTCTGGCCTCCTACCTTGTGTGAAGAAGTAGACTCTGGTGCCATCACCTCTCACATAGAAGTTATCAGACAGACATTGACCTAAGAACAAGACAGATATAAACAGTTACTACTGATCACTTAAAAATCAACAACTGCCATCCAACAACAGGCCCTTCTCCAGCACACACCGTGCTTTGAGGAATTAATGAGCTGCCTCCCAACAGGGCAGACACAGTTCCAGAGAGGCAGAATCTACTAGTGATGGGGCAAGAATTCCCAGGGGAAAGGAAATACCTTTCTTAAACCGAAGTTGGGCGAGATCATACCGGCCGTAATCTCGTAACAAAATCATTCCCCCTGGTTTCAGAAGGCGACTCAGTCTGGTCACAATGCACTGCATCCTGAGAGAAGAACAAACCAGGAGTGCTCAACAGGCTGCAAAATCATGTTTGTTTCCTTCCAAAAAGATGGAATAAAGTTCTATGATTCAACTTCATGTAAAGAGCTACCCAAAGCCAGCAGCATTCTGAGCTCTCCCAGAGTCATTTTATTTGGCCACTATTTTTTGACATTCCCCAATTTTGCTTTTTTTTTCCCCTACAAGGATAACATCCTGCCACAGCAGGGATTAACTGCACTCTCTTACTGATTACAAAAGGATCTTCACTGGCTTCTGCAAAACAAGTAGTAAGCGAACTTGAAGAGAAGTATTGTGAAGTAAAACTAAAGGGAACAGAAGAAGAGACTAGTGTAGGTTGTAACAATTATCACACTAAGACTGCAGCACTTTCCTTACCTTTTTTCTGAACCTGAACCCTTCCTTCTTGCCACCTCCCTGAGCCTGAAAATCCAGCAGAATACTTTCCAAAGTGAGTGTTCAGTGTGGCTGGGGTTCAGAACAGTGACCCCAGCAATGATCACCTGCAGCCACTTAAAATCACCCTGTCCTCTGCCAGAATTGGTTACAACAGCAAATACCTGCAAATTTCGTTTTCTGAGGCTTCATGGAAAACTGGACCACAAACAGAACAAACTTTAATTTTCCTTGATAGGAGATTATTAAAGAACTCCAGCCGTAGAAGAATTATCTTCTGCAATCAGAAGGAATTATTAAAACTTACTTCTCTGGGAGAATTGCTGAGAGGACAAAGATAAGAATAACAATGTCAAGGCTCTCCTCTGGCATTGGGAAAGGACTTTGGTCATTGCACAGGTCATGGACAAATGCAAAGCAGCGAGAAGAATCATATTCTGCACTGTTCTGTATTTGAGGGAGAGAAATTAAAAACATTAGCAGCAGACCCTGATCTCAGTATTAGCTGGACTATAAGGATTATTAGTATTATATGGAGTATTTTAACTTTCACATTATCAAGAGGTGTGTCCAGAGATCTGTTTCAGTTTCACTGGACTTCTGTGTCAGGTATGTTCCTTGGTCAGGCAAGGAACAGGTGTGAAATGTGAAAAAATATTTACACACAGGAGATTTACAAAGATCTTTGGTCTTGTTACAATCAATCAGCACTGAAAAAAATGCAAAACTGGATCCTGGGTTTCAATTTTAAGGTCAGAATTTCCACTAACAATGGTAAGAAATGAGAGATTTATACTGATAAATTGGAAACCTTTACATAAGTGAGAGTGTCAGGGCACCTCTCTGCGTCATTGAAATCAATATTACTTTCATCTACAAGCAGATATTCTCTATACCCCAAAAATCAAACTTGGTTGCTTAAAGTTACAGTCTTAAAAATCAGATTTAGACGTCTTTTAGAAGTTGCATATTTTTCTAAAGCTGCTGCTACAGATTGCAGAAGCCTCTACAAACAGTGCTTGTGTCACATACAGAGGACAAAATGGATGCTGACTGTGGTGCTATGCTCCCCTCTCACCTCAGGAAGTGACTGATTGCATTTGATATTTCATATATTCTCAGTACTCCCTTGACCAGAAATTTATCAGTGCTATTTGTCCTTTGACTAAATCCCAACCTCTTACACCACAAACATGATCCCTCCTCAGCTGCCTGTGCAGAAGCATCAGACCATGTTCCCAGAACTGTGGTGACGGTAACACACACAAACCAAAACCAGCTTCAGTTCCTGTTAAAAAATAGCCTGGATGTTTTCAAGGTTTGATTTTGTTTTCAAGTTACTCAACTAAGAGAACACTGTCTTGAGAAAAGTACTGCCAGCCACAGGGGAAGAAAATCTGTCTGACCTGTTTGCTGCCAATATGACATTTTGAGAACTTTTATTTCCCTAATTTCTACAATCTTTGATGGCTCCTTTTCCAGATTTCCCAGTGCAAGGGTCAGCACCAGGGCTGGCTAAAACCAGAAAGCTGCCAGCACAGCCAGAGAGTCACTGGCAATTGGTATAGATTTGTGTTAATGGGCAACTGGCCCCAGATACTTCCCACACTTTCATAAGTCACCATTGAGATTACCTGGACAAGATCCACAGCTGTTGTAGAAAAATCACAGCAATAAACGAACAGGCCTGGGTCACTGCAATAAATCAAAGAAACTCATAATTTATATTGAGGAATTTAGGAGTGTTTCAAATGCACAAAGCCCAGAAATCCTGGGCTTTAGTTTTTGTGCAAAATCTGGTAGATTCCACTGCTCCTTCATGCCCATTATTTTCATATGGAATTGACTGCTTCCTTTTTCTTTTGGATCTAAAACCAAGGGCTTCCAAGCTCAAAACACAATAACCTGAAGCTGCAGGTGGCAAAGGTACCATTTGCATTTGGCTTTTCTCTGAGATTGTCATGGAACATTTTTCCAATTGTTTTTCAGAGGCTGGTATATTATGAAGGTAAAAGCCTACTGAGAATTACTTCACAGAATCCCAGAATGGTTTGGGCAGGGACACCTTCCACTAGACCAAGGGGAACCAAGCCCTGTCCAAAGTGGCCTTGGACACTTCAAGGAATGCAGCAGCCACAGCTTTTCTGGGCAACCCATGCCAGGGCCTGCCCACCCTCATAGGGAACAATTCCATTCCAATATCCCATTTATCCCTGCCCTCTGGCAGTGGGAAGCCATTTCCTCTTGTCTCGTCTCTACTTACTTGTTGGTTTGTAAAATTGGGAAGACTGTATTCCCAGCCCCACAGCCAACCTGCATAAATAGAGCAGATGTATACAGTGAAAATAATTCCTTCAGCATGTACATGCAGATAATTTTCAGTCATCTCTCTACAGATGTGTAACGAAGAGCTACGCATGAGTAAAGCTGAGAGTGGCAGTGACCATTCTCAAGTGTCCATGCAAGATCTGAGCGCGCTAAGGTCTGAGGAACAGGATTACACGCGTGGAAAGCCACTAAGCAAGCTCTTGTCAAAATCTTAATAACAAGCTATACATTGTTACTCTTTTGAAAGCTGTTTTTGCTGGAATCCCAAGCACAACAACCAGTATGAATCACTGAAGCACTGGCAAAGGCCATGGATGAGTTACATTCACTTCCATAGAAAATCAGAGCAACAGAGAAGTTAAGTTTGCTTTACTCTAATTACTCCTTCTGCTTGTTCCCGTTTGAAGAGATGATGGCTCACACAACTGGGTTTAGGGAATTTGCCTCTGAATGTTTAAAGAATCAGTACAATAGAAATAGACTGAGCAGAAAACACCACAGAGGGTTTGCAGTGACAGATGTTAGTTAAAGTGCTCAGGTGAGATAGGAAACCCACGTTGAGAGCATCGAAGTCTGAGAAAATCTTAAAAGTGTCAAATTCAAAAATCAGGACAGTTCATACTAACTCTCCCTGGAAAGGCAGGACTTTCAGATAATAGTAAGTATTAAACAAATCCAGTAATATCTACAGTGAACAACTAGAAGTGGCAGAGCAGAAGGTCACCACCAGCTGTCAGCAGTCCAATACTTATAACTGCCACAAACTTCTCTGGGACAAAGCCTGTATCAGTCTGGGATTCCCTATTATCACAATGGCCCTAAGGAACAAACCCAAGACCATCTTTACATTCTTGGCTTCATTGCTCTGTTTCACACCTCCCAAGGCAAAGAGGAGTCAGCACAAACATGCAGAAGATGATGACAAGGTGTCCTAGGGTGACTATATGATGCTTGTATCCCTGTTCATCAGTTCTGTTTATGCTGGATAGTAAGTTCTGCATCTTTAAGACTGGTTCCAAGAGCGAAGAGGGAGTGAAGAAATGCGCAGTTTGTTTGCAGAAACTGTATTTGCTTCCCCCCACTCTGTATTCCTTCTCAAAGATTGTGCTGTCTGCAAGACAGACAGCGGGCAAGAACTCTCCTTTACTTTTAGTGATTAGCTAGCTGAGGTAGCGAAGTTCCCTGGACTGTGGCTTTTCTTTTCCTCAGAACTGATCCACCATGCTCTGGACTAAAACCCCAGAAGAACACCAGGAGCTCACACCTGGTGCCCACTGGGGCCTGGGACGCAGCACTCCAGCGCCGGAGGGACTGATAACAGCCCGAGTGAGCCAAGCTACACCCACGACAGGGGCTTTCTGAAGTTGCCATCTCTTCAGAACAGCAAGAGGCTTTATGGTTTAATACTATTCATTTTTTATGCCTGTGAATCCTTTGCTTGTTAAATAAGCAGGTTTTTTCCACTTTTCTCCAAGGAAGTATTTTCCTGAACCAGATGGGGGAGGGGCCACTTGAATCTGCTTTCTAGAAAGACCCCTTTGGAAGTTTCCTCCCAGATCTGCCCTGAACCAGGACACAAGGGAAAGCTTTATACAGAGCAGAAGTCAAACGATGACTTTTAAATGCTTGTTTGAATATCTGACAGCAATAGTTTGGCTTTTAAACTTGTAAACTTCTTATGGTCCTTGTGCTCTGCTAATTCAGAGTCCGAACCAAGAGAATCCCAATAGATTTAGTTCAGCTCTAAACTACCCTCTGATTTTTGCATTTTACTGACTGAAGGCAATCATCCACTCCCTTGCTCGCTGGCAGCAACACCCATTTTTATGTCCCAGTCACACTGACACAAGGGAGGCTTTGATGTGTGACTTTGATTTACAGCTCTTACCTCTAATATACGGTAAGATGCAGCTGATCCTGGGTAATGCCCATGACGCTGACTCAGCTCACTGTCTTTCTGTGCAGCCAGCTCCTCTGTGTGGCCTCCAGGTGGGCTTTTTATCAGGTTTAACTGACTCTCTGTCTTGGTTTCCAATGAGCAATGGCCATTTTCACAGCTTCCTAGCCCTTCATTTTTGGATTCTTCTGTGTCACTAAATCCATGCACAGAATCTCCATTTTGGCTTGAGTTCCTGTGAGGTGCCAGCTCAGGAAATTCAGTGAACAGCCAGTGCCTGTCCTTGAAGAAGCCATTTTCATGGATTTTATAGAAGTCATCCCAGTATTTCTTAGCATTCACCTCATATTCCTCTGTGAACACAAGCAAAAACATCACCAGGCATCAAATCAGGGTTTATCAGTTCAGAGAGTGAGGGATCACTGCAGGTATCTATGCAACAAACCTACTGTAATAAGTGACATTATTGACTGAAAATCACCTTTATTTAAACTTGCAATCCCACACAAACACTCAGCCTATGCCCTTCACAGTCACTTTGTAGGACTTAAAAAGGGAAAAGAAAGAAGAGGAAGCTGCCTCCTGGTAGGATTTAAAGGAAGGTGGCAACAGAAAGTCTCTTTGGAGGAGACTGGATTAAAGAAATCCAGGTTTTACTTCCGTGTCTAACAATGATTTGTTCAGCTCACTGGAACAATTAATTTGGAGCCTGGTGATGTTAAGTGTAAAGCACAACTCCTAAGGAATTTTCTGAGAGCTGCCCAGAGCTGAAAGCTCCTGTCCAACACACTGCTCTTATTTTCAGGTGGAGAAACTGAAAAATGAGTCAACTCTCCAGGCCTGGCAGGAAGCTCAGTTAGAATTTATGCAATCCTGCAGGTAACATGATTTCCACATTTCGCTGGAGTCCAGTCCAGATAACTTTGCTTTCCATAGTTCTATGCGTGTCAGAGCATCACCCATTTATGAACTAAAACAAAAGAGGGGAATCAACAGTGACCACTGCATTGAAGTACCAGTGGGGAGCTAAGGTGGAGAGGCTAAAGATGAACAGAATTAATTTGAGCAGCAGCACTTTTACATCAAATGGTTCATTCCAGGAGCAAGAGAAGTATTACAGGGAGCTGGAATAGCTCTTACAAAACCATGATTGAGTGAAATTTGAGTCACCTGCAAACTTATTTCTACACACTTCCACAGATTTCAGATCAAGTACAGTCTGGGGAAACTATTTCTTCCAAGGGAAGCTACAAATCCAAGTGACTTTCTATGATTTCATCAATGTGATGAGTTCTCTGTGCTGGGAATTAACGCCTAATTATAGCATCCTGTGCTTGAAATCACCTACAGACATTAACATCCATGGCCAGAAGTCCCACTTGCATGCCAATAACAAGTAACTCCTCAACTGTCTTTGGATGGCAACAAGTGTATCACTGAATAAAAATGACTGGAGGGCATTATTGTCTGAACTGCTGTTTATTTATTAGTCTTCCTGAAGAACATAAAACTGTTTCAAAGTGAGGTGGTAAAATGAACCCAGAACACCTGAAAAATATTAGCTTCAGCCAAATATAGACAAAAATGGCTTTAACAAAGAAGCATTAATCAGTCATATGTCTATTTTTAGTAGGATCTATCCCTGCAGCACAAAGTGCTATATAAAAAAATAATCTCTTTACCTCAACTACAAGGATTTTCTCCTTTTAAGAAGCCTGGCTCTTAAACACCAAGGCGAGGGAAATTTAATGTCTGGTATTAGATACAAGCAGTAAATAAATAGATAAATTTGTGCCATGATCTCACTGTAGGTCACAGTGAGCAGGGCCAGGTCAGCTCACTATTTGCATGGAAGAAGTCAATGCCTGCTGATGCTGGAAGAAGCACTATTGATCCAAATCCTTGCACACTCTATCCTGAACTTTCTCCCATCTACTACCAGGAACATGCAAGGCTTCTGAGGCTGAAACGCTCTTCCACCTAACAAAAATACAGATCCTGATTCCTGCTCATCTCCAACAATCCCATGACAGCCTGAGTGCTGTGGAATGCTTACCTGAGATACTGGGACAAAATTCCAGCCCAGCCATTTTGGATTGCCCATATTTTTGTCACATTACTCTTCCTTTGTTACATTAGTGTGAAATTCTGTTGGATGCTATTGAAGAGCTGTCATACTCCAAACCACACGTGGGGAAGCTTTATTTAAAGCTCATTTACCTTGGAGCCTGCTGTTTTCAAAGCCCTGAATAAGGGGTCAGTAACAATATAAATACAAAAAATCAAGGACCAGCTGACAAAGATCATACAAGAAACAGATTTAAGCAAAAATATGACCATGTTAATTTTTCAGAAAGATTTCCTGCCAGCAAAGTTGACATCATATTTGTTTCAGGCCCTTTTTGGGGTATTAGCTCACAGTGCCATCGGTGTGCAAGCCAGATTCCTCCAGAGACTTTCTTGATAAGGACTCCTGACTTCCTGCTCACCTTTGTAAGCACACCCCCAAAGACAAGCCCATACTCACCCCTTCACTCTGCAAAAGAAAAGCAAACAAAAGTAACAGCTCAAAAAGACCAGAAGAGAATCAGGGACCTCCTGAATTGCAAGGGGGCTAATTATGGAGCCTCAAAAGGAAACCAAGCAACTTGGATTTCTTTCTCTTTCTTTTCTCAGACAGGAGACATCTTCCACATACCCACAGAGCTTCCCTCCTTCTTCAGAACAAATCCTGACATCCCCAAGTAGTCCACAGAATAATACAGCCATAATGACCAATATTCTGCCTTTGTTCTTCTCCTTGGACATCCTGATTCTCAAACTTCCAGACCCTTCAGGCACATTTGCCTGGGCTGCTTTCCCTACTTTCCAGCCATCCCATTGTCTCCACATGCTTCCCAGTGAATAGCAACCATCAACATTTGACTGGCCTCCATTGTTCAGTCTGGGAAATACATCATGGAGCTCTGACAAACAGCTCCAACAGCAAATTGCTCCACAATTTCCTAGTTGTATATAGGTTCTCAAAGCACCCTTTAATGCTAACCAGATTTTAAAATGAGCTCAACACAATGGGCATCACAATGGAAAACTGCTGGATACCTCTAGGAGTCCAAGAAATTAGGAGGGTTACTCTTTGGTGTAATTAAATTTGCTATTGTGAACACAACTGGAAGCTATATGGAAGTGTCTCAATAGTTCCAGTAGTGCTCAGCATCATCTTACGGGTGACACACTCGATGTAATTTGAACAAAAGGAGCAGATACACCCTAGAGCTCAGCAGGGTATAACAAGATCATCATCAGACAAGTTTCTTATCACCACAAAGAATCATTTCACCAACATTTGAGGGACTGGATGATCTCTACCAGGTGTGGAGAAAATGCATTATTAACCATCTCAGAACGGCTTCAGCCCTGACTTAACCAAAGACCGAGCACCTTGAGCTTGATTCAGAGACAAGTAAGCTCTGCATTTTGGATTGCTAAATATCCTTTAAACAATACAAAATAAAAACTTTGGAATCCCTTTGCTGTCTATCTGAGGATAAACAATCAAGATAAAATAATTTTTCTTTCTCTGATGAAATTGCTCTCATGTGGTTTGTTTACTTTGTACAGACAGATATGGAAACTACTTTTATCAGACCCTTTAAAGAGAAAATCAGCTTGGATCAGGGCTTACTCCACAGCAAGTCAGAAAAAGAGATTAACTACTAGCAGCTAAGCTTTAAAGAGCAAAAATAAGCAGAGGCAACAACTCTACACTCAGAGAGGTTTGTTGACAACGAACACTAACAAGTGTTTAATACAACACGACAGAGAAGCTCAACCCAATGTGACTCCTCCCAACCAGCAGGAGTCTCTAGTGAAGGTGGAAGAGTCACAGAGAGATAAATTAAGAACAGAAAGGTTCCTCCTCCTCCTCAATTTCCCATTATCACACATGTGTTAAAGCCTTCTGAGTGACTGGGAGAGGGGGAAGGGAGGAAATGATGATGTCCTGATGTGGCTGTGGCCAGACTGTTCCATTCCTGGCACAAAGCCAAAACTCACATGAAGACACTCTCCAAAAGTACCTTGTTTATCTTGTGGCAATAGTTGTGAGCTGTTCTCTTGAACTTTACTCCTGGCACTGGCTTCCTGCTCTTCTGACCATTCCACATTATCCCTGTTGTGAAAAATAAGATGAGCTAGAGCTAAGCATGGAAGGAAAGAGAAAGGTCTGGAGAGCCCTCCAAATGGACAGGGGTGCAGATGTGATCCCCAATTCCAGCCCAGCACCAGCACAACAGCCTAGTAAGTATGTGCAGGTCCTAGTCCTGAAGGAACTCATGGAATTGCAAACAGAAGGGATCCTAAATCTGACCCATTTTGGATGCTCAGTCAAATTCAAAGGGAATAGATCCTTGCTAAAACCATGAGGGCACTCTGCACAAAACTACATCTTTCTCAAGTGAAAACATAAAAAGGCAGTTGGGTTATTTGGAAGGTAACTGTTAAATTAAATCAAATGATGAGAAAATTAAGGGAAGTTTTAAAGCATTAAGAATTATTAATAACGTCAATGCACATACACAGCTATGCAATCATTAAAGTGATTCACTTGACCTCTTTTCATTACAACAAGTCAATGAAAAGCAGAATACAAGACCCAAGAAGCAGTTCTTGTCTCAAAAGGAATCAGTCTTCTGATTTTAACTTACAAAACAAAGGCTTAAATATTAAGTCCGTGAAAAAACAGATTACTAAGAATTTCAACAGGAAAACTAAATATATGCTTTTGTAACATACCTTTTCCATAGAACAGTCTCAGAAAGAATGACAGGCTAACACATATAAATATTACTTAATTACAAATTAAACACACTTGATTCTTAACATGGTATAACAGCCAGAGACCAAAAGTGGATCTATTTACCCCAAAAATGCAGAAATACCCAGCAAATTAGAGAATTTGGATTTAACTGGCTTTTGGTTTAACTGGCTTAAAACAAGTTCTGTATCTAAATAAAGAGCTCCTGTTCCAAGCACACACTTGGCACCACCTTACTGGAGGAATGACAGGTTATGGATTTCTGACAGCAGGCACTTTACATTTACTAACCACAGCAACAAAACAATTGCTACAACCACAGGAGCCTGAGGAATGCTACTGCTTCAGGAGAGGTTGAGAGTGGCTCAGAATTCCCTGTTGATCAGTCCTGAAGATTCAGAACCCTGGGCATCAATCCCAAAGGTTCAGGAGCCCCCAGATGATCAGTCCCCAAGGCTCAGAACCCCGCAGGGAGCAGTTCCAAGTGCTCAGGAGCCTCGGGGACCGGCACCGACCACACAGGGCAGTGCCCTGCCCGGGGAAGCCGGTCCCCGCCCGGCCTGCAGTCGCTGCCGCCAGCCCTACACCCAGCGCTCCCTCGGCCCGCTCCGCGCCCTGAGGGTGTCTCTCGAGGCGCGCCCGGAGAAGAGGGCGGTCACCGCGGTAAGGGCTCTGTGAGACCGAGTGGGCACGTTGGGAGCGGCCCATTACACAGCGCTTGACTACACACACCGCAAATCGGAGAGGAGACGGCGAGCCCGCCCCGGCCACCCCCACCCCACCGCCGGGCGCGGGCCGGCACCACAGGGCAGCAGAACCCCGGGCGGCTCACGGGGGCCTAGAGCGGGCAGCGGCGGCAGCCCTCACGCACCAGGCATTGTGCTGGAAAAGCCGGGCGGGGTCGGTGAGGAGACGCCTCCCGAAAGGCCGCCGCTCCCCTGCCTCGCTGGACGCCGCCATGACGGTCCGGCCAGCGCCGGAAACGGAAGTAGCGCCGCGCGGTCCGACCCGAAGGAGGACTGCGGGCGGCGGTCACGTGGGAGGGGTGCTCAGGTGAGCCGTTCCCGCCGGAAAACGTGGGGGAAGGGGCCCGAAAAGAGCTTTTGTGGAGTTTGTCTCGCATTTCAGGGAGTTCCGGAATGGGACAGGCTGGAAGGGACCACAGGGCTTCCTCTGGTCCAGCCCTCCTGCTCCAGTAGGGTCATTCCAGAGTACATGGCACAGAGTCCCACAATGGTTTGGGTGGGAAGGAACTGGGAGAGCACCCAGTGCCACCCCTGCCATGGCAGGGACACCTTCCGCTAGCCTAGGTTGCTCCAAGTCCTGTCCAACCTGCCCTTGGCCACTGCCAGGGATCCAGGGGCAGCCACAGCTGCTCTGGGCATCCTGTGCCAGGGCCTGCCCCCCCTGCCAGGGAACAATTCCTAATTCCCAATATCCCAGCTAACCCTGCTCTTTCAAATTGAACCCATTCTCCCTTGTCGTCTTACAACGAGGTGTAATGGGTTTAAATTCAAAGGATTTGAATGGATTGCCCAGGACTGCCTCCCGACAGTTCTCCAGTGTCTCCAACAATGAAAGCTCGACACCTCTGGGCAATCTCTTCCAGTGCTTGGTCACTGCGCAATGATGAAGTTCTTGTGCATGTTCAGATGGAACTTCCTGGGCATCCGTTTGTGCCTGTTGCCTCTTGTCCTATTGCTCAGCACCTCTCTGAGCAGAGTCTAGCTCCATCTTCTCAGCATCCCTTTAGATATTTATTTATTTGGCCTTCTGGGAAGAGGGACGGAAGATGAAGGAGGAAGGACAGAATTTGAGGAGGCCACCAGGATGATCAGAAGGATAGAACACCTCTTGTACAAGGAAAAACTAAGAGAGTTGGGATTGTTCAGCCTGGAAATGAGAAGCTCTAGGGTGACCTAACTGTGGCCCTTTCCATTACCTGAGGGAAGTCTCCAAAAAAGATGGAGAGAGACTTTTTTACAAGGGCCTAGAGTCACAGGACAAGGGGGAATGGCTTCACACTGACAGGGGGCAGGGTTAGATGGGATATTGTACGAAATTCTTCCCTGGGAGGGTGGGCAGGCCCTGGCACAGGGTGCCCAGAGCAGCTGTGGCTGCCCCTGAATCCCTGCAGTGTCCAAGGCCAGGCTGGATGGGGCTTGGAGCAGCCTGGTGTAGTGAAGGTGCCCCTGTCTATGGCAGGGGTGGGACTGGATGGCCTTTAAAGTTCCTACAAACCATTCTGTGATGCTGTAATTTGGTTCATAGCATGCAAAGGGAGGCACAGGGTGACTTTCCAAATTTTGTGGGGCTTCTTTCTGCAATACTTGAGGGAGTTTCCATCCATCCACACTGGCTGGTGCTGTCCCTGAACTCCTGCAGGTGACAACCAGAAGACAGAAGTGAGAGACACTGGCTTGTGAAACAGCCCAGCCCCACTCAGCACCAGCTGCTGCACCCATGGCTTTGGGGGGACCTGGTACCTGGGGAGTTTAAACTGCAAGGGGTGTGACATGCCCGTGGTGGCACTTCCAGCAGTGCCTTTGCAGAGCAGATGGCAGCCATGCAGATGCTTCTGGATGTGCAACCAAATATAAAGCTTTTCTGGAAATCTCATCTTGGGGCCCCCGTGTTTTGTGTATGTTGTTATATAAGGCACAAATACCCCAGCAGGGAGGGGCACTTCCCTCTATGTCCCGCAGAGGCAACTCACCTGATAATCTGAAACAATTCTCCTGGTGTGGAGCTGCCAACTCCACCCATTTCCCAAGTACTTTGAGGTGGAGGATTCCTCTGCTAATTGTAGCTACCCAAGTAATTTTTCCTATGGGCTGAAGAGGTGGAGTGTGGTTAGAGCTGTGACTGAGCCTTATCCTGCTTTCACAGAGCTCAAAGGGAGCAGAGATCCCAGCAGCCTTGAGAAGATCTGGACAAGTTATGCCATGGGGGTCCATCCCTATTTGTCTCACTGCTGGTTAGGTATCTGGCAGGGAGGACAATTCCCTGCAGTTTATCATTAGCCAGAAAAGTGATGGTTGACTCTTTCTGTGTTCCATCTGGTAAAGGAAGAGCTTGGCCTCTGCTCTTGTAGCCAGGAACATCTGAAAGAAACTGGAAAAAGGGAAAAAGTGAGAGTCTGGACTAAATCCAGGGGTGGAAATCCCCACCATAGCATGATGCTTCTGTGGCACCTGGAGGTACAAAAATAAAGTATTAGACCCTGCTGAGACAGGAGAGCATGATTTTACTGCTGGAGGAGCCATCAGTCCCTCACCACCAGAGACTTGCTTCCATGTTTGTCCCATGTGGGTGGGAACCACTGCAATATTTTAAGGGAACCAATTGCCTCATGTTAACATCACATCCTTGTCATCTGACATGCACCAGCACAGGCATGCAGGAGGCTTTTAACTGATCTGTTGGTTTCCAAAGATTTCTAGGTTTATTCCAAGGAAAAAGACTGTCAATACCTAGCCTTACCTTCCTCTGTCCTAAGGCTTCCAGCTTTCCTTGCTGGTCGGGTGAACCCTGCTGGCTGTGGAGCCCAGGATGGAGTTGGGGTGACACAAGGTGTCACCCTTGTGCCCTAGGTAAGTGCCTAGGCAATGTTTGAGTGGAACAGGGAGTGTTGCCAGCACTCCAGGGAGATTTCAGGCTTTGAGAGTGACAGCAAAAGGGCAGCTGGAGAGACTCCATCCACAGAATCCAGACTTGACACCATGGCTCTGTGGTCAAATGAGTCTCCTCTGTGACCAGGTCAAAGCCCAGATTATCCACAATGGTTGTGCTCTTTGTAACAAGAAAGTGTTGGAAAACTGCCCTGCCTGCTGGCAGTCAGCACAGAAAGACTTGCCAGAAAGAGGTTATTAATAATAATAATAGTGACTCCTTTGCCTTTCACCCACTCCTTCCATCTCAGGATCTGAAGAAATATAGCCACAATAATGCAATGAAACTCCCTCCCTCCCAGCAGGGTTGGGTGCTGAGGCCAAGGAAGATTAAATTACCTTTCCATGGCCATTCATAACCTATCACTTCCTTCAATGCTCCACCAAGCATACAGACACAGCCCTTTCTCCTATGCCCCACTGAGGGATGGCACTGCTGAGACATACAGAGTTCACACTGTGCCTCTCTGCCATTTAATGCAAAGCAAAAATTCAGCCCAAGATGAAGGGGAGTGCAGAAGTAGAGAGAATTTAAGCTGTGTTGAGTGCATGTGTGTCCCACGCCAGTGACCCAAAAGAGAGTTGCAAAGATCCAGCAGCCTCCCTGTGTTTCTGTTGCTGGGTTGCTGAAGGAGAGGCCAGGTAGGAGCAGAGAGCAAGGAGGTGAACGCCAGTCCCCTCCTGTGTGTGTCCTGGGCTTCCTGCAGCTCCTCGCTGGCTAAGGGGACAGCTGGAATCTACATTGTGGATGTCAACCATGTCCCCAGAACTATGGGGGAAGGTGGAGTTAGTCAGTGGGGAGCTATCATAAAGTCATGGAATGGTTGGGGGTTGGAAGGGATCTTAAGGACCATCTCATTCCACCCACTGCCATGGGCAGGGACATCTTCCACTCCACCAGGTTGCTCCAAGCCCTGCCCAACCTGGCCTTGAACCCTTCCAGGGATGGGACAGCCACAGCTGCTCTGGGTACCCTGTGCCAGGGCCTCCCCACCCTCACAAGGAGGAAGTTTTTCCCAATATCCCATCTAACCCTGCTCTCTGACAGTGGGAAACCATTCTCCCTTGTCCTGTGACTCTAGGCCCTTGTAAAAAAGTCTCTCTCCATCTTTCTGTCAGCTTCTTCAGGTACTGCAAGGCCACAATTAGGTCACCCCAGATCTTCTCATCTCCAGGCTGAACAATCCCAATCCTCTCAGCAAGTATGTTTGAGGAAGGGGAGCCCAAAATACAACAACCTAAATTATTCCGTGATTTTGTGCCAAAGAAAATGCAGCATTTTGGCTTTTTGTTTTTAATTCCAGCTCTTTCTTTTCTTCTCCAAATCTTAAGTTTTCTGCCTTGCAGATGCTCCAGATCCTGAACTATCCTGAAGTGCTGATGTACTCACCATCTACAGTCATGTCCTTCAGTACCTCCTGGAGACTGTTCTGGAAAATGGATTTCCATTGAGAGTGTTGGGACTTCAGCACTCCAACACTGAGACCTGCTTCCCTAGAATGAATGGGGAGATGTGTTTCATTTCAGAAAATTCCATAGAAACGTAGAAAACCCCATTCTGGATTGTGAATCAGACAAAACACACCTTTTGTCATCTTTTGTCATCTTTTGTCTGTATTGGAAGTGCTTTGCTTATTTTTGGGGTTTATTAGCAGAAAACAGTTTACAAAAGGAGTTGATGGGGTCCAAGCAAAGAGCACTTCAGCGCTTCCAGGAATTAAAGAAGCAGTAAAAAGAATTCTGGCCTTAAGTGTTGCTGTCGGAGCTGTGTCAGTGGGATGGGTTTCAAGGTGTCCCCACTCCCTGGAAACCTCTGTGGGTCAAATGTTCCTGCCCAGTGTGGGAGACGATCACTCAGCAGCCCACAAGGAGGAAGGCTTGGGCCGAACACGTACAGACACCACCATCTAGTGGTGCCGGGCTCCAACAGCCTCCATGCAGCCCGAATCGGCACGTCCCGCAGGGTTGGACCTACTACCGCTCCCAAATGGCTTCTCCCAGGGAGCTGAGAGCAACCACAAAGTCCACGCCCTGCCCCAGGAGGGACCTCCGACTGCTCCTTCTCATCTACTCCATCCGGCACAGCGACATTGCCTTGATTTTGGGGGGGAAAAGTCACTCCTGACTCCCAACAGCTGCTTCTTGTGGTCATGGGCTTGATCCTGCAAATAGCCATACCCCCTGGCATCAAGGGCAGTGAACTGGGATAAACTGGGGTCTTGCCTCATCCCACAGCTCCATGGGAAATGGAAGTCTCCTGCCTGAATAGCATATGTGGAATCATTGGGGTTTCTCCAGTGGAAGCAGTCCCTGGAAGCCTGAGGGGAACTCATCCTGCTTCTTCATGTTGTAGCCAGGCTCTGCCTTTGCCTTTGCCTTTCCCTGAGCCAGCCAGTAGACAAAATGCTCAGCCTGGGGCCAAACCAAGCTGGGCCTAACTCCACTCAAGCCCAGATTCCACTTGGGTGCTGAAATCACCCACTGAGCCCCTGCCTGGCACAGCCAGGGACACTGAACACTGCCCAAGGTGCCTGAATACAGTGTGGGTTGGGAGCACCTGGTAGCACTGGGCATGTGTGGGGTGTCAGAGACCCAAGCAAACAGGATGTTGCATGCTGGGGTTCACTCCACTTGCATGCGAGTGAGGTGCTGCCAGTACCATAGTCTGCTGTGGGCTTTGGCCCACCTTGTGACCCCCAAATTGTTATTGACCCTGAGGAGGGAACCAGTAACAGAACAGAGACCCCCATGGCGGGCCCACAGCCCAGTTTGCCCTGGTTCTGCCATCTGTTAACCCATCTCATCTCAAACCAGCTCCCTTAGTTGTGCTGGGCTGTCAGGGGCTGCCCTCAGAGTAGAAAGCTGGACACAGGCTGGGGACCACACTGATCATAGTCTGAGTGGTGTTTGTTTTTTTTTTTTTTCTTCCCCTGGTTCTTGTTTGTTTGTTTATTATTATTTTTATTTTTGTGATGTGAATCACTGGCACTCTAGTGCTGCCCATCCATCCCTGGCCCCCCTCCAGGGTTCAGCCCCAGATCCCACCCAGCACCAACTGCTGCCCCTGCTCCCACACTGCTGGGACAGGTCAGCCAGGGAACAGGGACACAGGGCCACCAGCTCAGCCAACACGCTGCTGGGGCCGTTGGGGCCAACCCCACGATGGGAGCAAGGTCACTGTTGCTTTTTGGGGCAATTGAGGAGAATTGAGCCATGTGCTCTGGCAGGGTAGGGACCAGGCAGCAGCACTCTTACAGCCCAGCACTGCCCCTGGGACAGCTCTTTGTTTTCCTCCACGGGTGACACACAACCCCAGGCAGCAGGACATAGCCTGACCCCTCCCTGCCTGCTCTTCTGGAACCCTTAGCCACACAGAAGTCCAGAGGTTTTACAGTTTTACACAGTCCAAAAAACACAGTAAGGGGAGAGAGGTGGCCAGGCTCAAGGGATATCAGGTGTCATGACCTTCCTGAAGCAGCTGCTGGCACATCCATGTGCGCTGTGGCATGGGCACAGCGGAGGCAGACAGGAGGAGCTCAGCACCATCCCAGGGGCTGAGCCAGGCTGCAGCTGGTACCAGCACAGCTGATGCTACACGGAATTGGCAGGTGGTATAGACTGAATGCATTGGAGGGAGCGAGGGAGGGCACTGTTATGCGGGGCACAGCTTTTTACCACCCTGGGTCACAGCAGCACCAGTGACATATGGCTGCAAGAAGAAAGGAGCTGCTGGGCTGCTCGAGCAGTGTCCTGAATCCCCAAAGCCAGCGATGGCTCCTGCTGCTGGCAGCTGCTCTGTCCCAAAGGAGAAGGTCCCTGTGCCCAGAGGGACCGAGGCCAGTGCAGAAGGGGACTCCAAGTGAGCAGAGCTTCACCAGCACACGCTGTGGAGGAGAACACAGCTCAGCATGTGGTTCAAGCAGCTGCTCCTGAAATGCCCATGGCCCGATGAGCACCGAAGAGTTCACAGACTGACAGAGATCATCCCATTTCTCTGTGTTCAGTGTTTGGGGGGGCCGGTGGCTTTGCGAGCGACCCGCTGAGGTAAGGACCGAGGTTGCCATGGAAAGAATGTCCCTGCAGTTACAGTGGGGTGACAGACAATAGGGGTTGGAGGCAGTCAGGGACTTGTTAAATCACATGCAGTCATTCACACAGGCAGACACAAACAAGCTCTTCTGTAAACTGGGTTCCAGGAGATCCCAGGATCATCAGCTGATCCCATGGCCAGTGCTGGATGTGGCATCCTTACATGTTCCCACGGTATGTAATGTTGGTGAAGGTAGATGTGGCCTCTTTATATAAAGGGTTATGGGTCTGGAGGAAGAAAGAAGATGAAAAAGAGCATCATCACTTTGTGCTTGGCATCAGCATTTGTTCTACTTAAAATCTGGGGTAACTGAGGCACTGTCTCAGCATGGAGTGGTGGATCCCTGTCTCCACCCAAGGCTTTGGATGAGCAGTTTAATGGCTCCCCATAAGGTTTCATGGGGCAGAAGAGGGAAAAGCTGCTGTGGAGGAAAGGAAAAGCAGCAGCAGCTCAGGAGGAGAGAGACCTCTTGAAAGAGCTTCCCATCCCATCCCATCCCATCCCACACCATCCCTTCACTTTGTGGGGGGTTAGGAGATGGAGGAGAGGTGAGGGACAGGTACCAGTCCTGTCCCAGCCCCCTCCCTTGTGCTCGGGGTTCCTCAGTGCTTTCCACATCCTGTGGCAGGAGGGACCTTCTGCCTCACTCATGGGATGGAAACACTGCTGCGAGCAGTGAGTAAGGGGGCCGTGCTGCTGACAAGTGCTTTGAATATGCTTGAGGGGGGAAAATAATCTAGGACATCTCCTATCACCTGTGCACAGCCCCTGGGACGACAGCAGGCTCAGGGAAGGGGTGTCCTGGGTGGCAGTGTCACCTTGAGTCCTGCATGGGACATTATCCCAGGCTTTAGAGAGGAATGGGACAAGCTGGCCCTTAAGGACCATGTCATGGGACAACAGACAGCAGCTGGGCTCTCACGCCAGGAGCACTGGGATCTGGATCCCTCAAGGCAGAGGCTGGGGGTTTTGGGGCTCCTGCCCAGCACACCCAATCCACTGGTCCTCACCGTGTCCCACTTGGCCCTGGCCTTCTCCTCCTCAAAATGGGCGAATTCACGGCGGTCGTGGATGGTGATGAGGAGCTTCCATATGAGCAGGGCAGCAAGGCCGATGAGCAGGATGGCACCTGTCACCGAGAGCAGGACCACCAGGACGTCTGGCCCCTTTGGACAGTCTGGAGCAGAGAGGAGGGCAGGGTTGGGAGGAGCTCAGCACCCCCAGGGCAACTTAAAGCAGCTCTGGGGCCACCTGGCCATGGGTACATGGAGCTCCTTTGGTCTCAGGAGGGCATCATCCTCCTCTGCCAGCAAGCAGAATCCTCTACCCTGAGCACAGCAGGCTCTGTGAAGGAGGATCCCATCCATAGGGCACCTGTGCCAAAATACCTGAGCACCTGTCTGTAGAGTGGGAGTCTGCACTCAAGCCTAGAGCTAGATCAGGGGCCTCACAGGTCCCGCCCACAGTGGGGGATGACACTGGAGACCAAGTCCTTGTGCTTGTGAAGTTTGCCCCAAACCAGCAGCCCACTGACACCCTGCCCCCGCCTCTGTCTGTGTGTCAACACTGAATTGGCAAATGGGGGCAGGGAGATCCAGTGTGAGCCTCCACAGCTCCTGCTCCCCCTGCACACTGCCCCGGGCCATGTGGCCACCCCAGCCTTTGCCCTGCCTCTCCTCTCCCATCTGGCTGTGGGGCTGGGAAGTGTGCGCTGTACGCTGCCCATGGCAGATAGCTGCAGTGAGAGCTGGTGGCTGCCTTCACTGCCCTGCTTCTGAAGGATCTGCAGCCACACAGCCCCAGGCTCAGCTGAGGTCAGTGGAGACCCCAGGGCTGCTGATGGGAGCCTCCTCTTATCTGCTTCCCAAGAAAAATCACCCCCACAAAGTCAAACACAGGATCAGGGCAGTGGGAAGGTTGAAACCCCGTCCTTGGCCTCAATGAAGGGATGAAATCACGTAGGAAATGTGATACCTGAGAGGCAGGAAATCATGGCCCGCTGGAACTGAGGAGGGGACAAAGAAGTTCTTTAATCCCTCTCAGCCCCCAGCCCTGGTGCCCCATGAGCCTGGCTGGAGTGGGAGGTACAAAGGGAACTCAACATCCCTCTGTTCTGCACAGAAACCCAACACAGTACATTCTGCAGCCCCCAGCCTAAGCATGGCAGCTGGGTCTTACCAGGCTCCTCGATGACATAGAGGATGGACTTGCCACTGGAGTCCTCGTAGTACTGGAACCTCATCACACAGTCATTCTCATCCTTATAGGTGCAGTTCACAGCATCCTTGCCCCTGTCACCTGCCAGAGGGAGAGGCTCAGAGTCCCCATGCTGAGGGGTGCACACACAGAGGGAAAGCATGTGGCATACACAGCCCCTTGGATTTCCACGTATTAGGACAGGGGTTGGGTCTCCTCTTACTCAGTTCCTGCACCGTCTCAATCTCGTCACGGCACATGCGGCTGCAGGACTGCTGCTCCACTAGCTTTCCCCGCTCAAACTTCTTGCACTCCACACAATCCCTGTGGAAGAGGAGGGAAGTACCATGAGCTTTTCCATGCTCTCCTCTGGGAACTGTCACACCTTTCAGTTTCAGGCTGTGGAAATCACAGCAGTTCCAGCCCTACCGGGCTGCAGATAGTGAGAGCTCCTGCCACCAGTGCTGCCAGCTCCATGATGGGATATGACCCTTCTCAGCTCTCTGCCAGCTCCCCAGTGGAATATGACCTATCCCAGCTCTCTGCCAGCCCACAATGTGGTATGAGCTGTCCCAGCCCTCTGCTCTTTCTCACTTTTTGATGGTGCAGGCGTCCGGGCAGGTGGGGCACTTCTCGCAGGTGTCGCCGTAGGAGCCGGGCTGGGTGCACTCGCAGCGGCCGCACACGCAGGAGCCATGGCCGCTGCACACCAGCCCGTTGCTGGACATGCAGGTGTCCGTGCGCGTGGTGCAGTTGCAGTAGTCTCCTGTCCAGTCTGAGTTGCACAGACAGTCCCCACAGCTGCACTGCCCATGGCCTGGGGACAACCAAAAGGCATCAGAACTCTAAGTGTGTCCACAGAGGCAGTTCCCCATATGGATGCCTATGACCGAGAGTGGCAGCTCATCTTCTGTGGGCACTGCAAGGCAGACTGGCCACCTAGGACAACTCCTTTGCACTGTCCTTGGGGTGGGACACAGAGAAGCTCACACCAAACCCAGACCTTCACCATGTCCCCAACACTCCTCTTATCCCACCCAAGCAAGAACAAACTCCCACATTTCAGGCTGAGCTGCCCCAGCTCCAGCAGCAGCAACTGGAGATGCTCCATCAGATCTGTCTCTGAGCAAGTCAAGTTTTTTCTGTGGCTTTGAATTTCAGATTGAGTCAGGACGTCTGGTCAAAGCCCCCAAGTCTGACTCCTTTCTCAGGCCTGGACCAGACAGGGAAAGCTGACTGCTGGGAAAAGCCCAATACACGCTCACTGAGACTGGTTTACTCAGACAGACAGATAGTCATGCTCAAATCCTGCCAAACCCTGGAGCTATTTGGATTGTGGTTTATTTCAGCTCAAAGAGGAGACACGGCAAGTGGTGGAAACACTGTGGAGCTGCAGGCGCTGACCTGTCCTAAGCCCTGAGCACAGCGGGAAGGACAGGTTGGGAATGCTGCTCCCGGCAGGGGATTGGCTGGGCACCCTCCCGGCCATGCCCTTGGAGGCACTGGCATGTGAAATAAATGTATAACCCCATTAATGAGGAACTAGGGCTGAGTCACAGGAAAATAGTGCCACGCTGGGTGACAAGGCATGGAAACAGACGGGTAGGCTGGGGAGAAGTGACTCAACAGGGTCAGAGAGTTCAGGTTAATTAACAGCTCACCCTGGCCAGGGGCAGCTCTTCATCATTGCCCCTCACCCATCCTGGGGACCTGCAGCCCTTGTTCAAACAGGAACAGGCTCCTTGAGGACACTGACTACTCAGGGTGGGGGAAACCCAGTGTTTCCACCTCCATTATCAGCAGGCTGTTAAGATAAAGGCTCAATCTGAACAGCACAGAGGCAGTGTGAGCCATGAAGTTGTCCTGAGGGGCAGGTGGGATCTCAAAAACTCAATATGGGGACATCAGGGAGCAAGAATCGAGTGTCATCTAGCCCCAGGTTTCATCTCATCCAGGCCAGGCTCCAGCAGAGTGGAATCAGCTTTGGCCACTGATGTTTTCCTGGGGATTTTTGGGATTTCAGCAGGGAATTGGTGTCTTTTTCTGACACTCTGTTAGCAGCCACCTATCCTGGGCTTACAGAGGGAGGCTGGGGTTAGGAATGGGAGTGGCTACCTCTCTCCCATTCCCCCCTTAAATCAGTTTTGGGGTACTCTGCTCCTGGACAGGATGTGCCACAGTTTCATACCTCATTCCTATGCACTGTCACCTCTCTCACATCCCTTAAATAGATGAGATGGGTAGATCACTGCAATTCACTCAGACCTTCAGTGTTTACTGGAGATGTGGGTGGAAGGAACCTTAAATGAAGGTTCCTGGTGGGAAAGAGGCCCTGGCATATCAGGACATTTGGAACTGCTGTTGGGATGAGGTTTCTGCGGGAGGGCTTCTTCCCTGGGAGGAGAACCAGAGAACCCAAGGACCTGGTCCTTTCTTTCCAGTACTGAGAGCAGCTGGGCTGGAGAGGGTGAGTCTGGGAGCATGTGGCAGAGATTAATATTCAGGAGGGGAGATGCTGTAAGGCCAGCAAGGAGGGAGGATTTACTTCCCCAACACTTTTGCCAATAGGAAGTCTTCCAGAACTGGGTGGAGGATAAAACCCACCTCTCCCCACCCTTCCCCCTCCACCCTAGAGTTTCCTTCTTCAGAGCAGTACTTCTAATGTGTTTGAGCTGTATGATTCACGCACGGTCTCTGCCCTGTACACCCCAGAGCTGCTTTGCTTGGTCCCCACCAGCCCCACCAGGCCTCCTTTTTAACCTTCTAGCCCATCCCCACTCCCAGGTCTCAGGCACAGGAGGTGATATCAGTGGCCAAAAAGGTAGTAATTCCCCTTGCATCACTTCAGACCAGGGCTGGTGCAGGTAGATTCACGGCTGAACAAGTCAGAGTTGGGGACAACTCACAGGACAAGCCCCAAAATGACTGGTGTCTCCCTTGCCCAGGATCTCAGGCAGCCTAAACAGCCCCAAGCTGCCTCACTGCCAAGCCCAGCACTCACCCGAGCACATCTGGCCCTTGAAGCGAACACAGGAGAAGTCGTCGCACTCGCAGTACTTGCCCGTCACCTTCCCAAAGTCGCTGCTGTGGCACACACACTGCCCGCAGATGCACTCGCCACGCTGGCTGCACAGGGGCTGGCCTGGCCGAGGGCTGCAGTTGTCCTGCTGTGAGGGGTTATACTCCTCCTCCGAGCACTCGCAGTGTGAGCCCAGGCGCCCGGGGTTGCAGCGGCACACGCCGCACTCCAGAGTGCCATTGCCATGGCTGCAGGACGGGCTGTTGGTCTCGGCGCGGCTCTCACAGGAGCACTCGCAGTCGAAGTTCACCACCACCGTCAGGCTGTCCTTGAAGCCCACAGGTTTGATGGTGAAGGATTTCTGCTGCTCCTGGGGGCAGCCCCGCACTTTGGCCTCGATACTGAAGCTCACCTGGAGGGCAAAGGTGTGTGTCTGGATGTCAGTACCTGCTCCAGTCCATGCCCCAGCTTAAGGAGCTCAGAAATGGGAGCCACCGGGTCCCTTTGGGCTCATCAAAGCTTATCAAAGCTGTCCCAGCACAATGTGGGCTAGATAATGTGCTTGCCACAGTAACCAGGAAAATTTTAGGTTTGATATTAGGAAAAATTTCTTCACTGAGAGGTTTGTCAGGCTCTGGCACCGGCTGCCCAGGGAAGAAGTAGAATCACTGTCCCTGGAAGGGTTCAAAAAACCTGTAAATATGGTGCTTAGGGACATGGTTTAGTGGTGGACCTGTCAGAGATCAGTTAGTGGTTGGACTTGATGGTCTTAGAGGGCTTTTCCAACCCAAATGATTCCAGGTTCCCATGCCCTGTGGGCAGCAGCCCAGGCTCAGCTAGAGACATCAGAGTTTGCATCCAGCAGATTCAAAAAAGCATACTCCTCCTTGCACCCACCCTGATGGACCTCTCTCTCTCTAGTGCTGAGATTCCAGGGTCCATGTCACCTGGGAGGTTGTGGGACAAGCAGATGGTGCTGGTGCAACAGATGACCTGGCAGTGCTGCTACATAGAGGGGAGAAAAGCCAAGCCCATGAGTGGGATCCTCACCGTGTCCCCGATCTTGAGCCCCATGCAAGACTTGAGTCCAGGGATGACCTCATCGTTGAGGCAGGTGGCATTGAAGGTCAGGGACAGCTCTTCAGGGAGGTCACGCACCTCCAGCTCCACTTTGGAGCGGATTTTCTAGGGAAGGAGAGAGGAGTGATGAAGACACAGCACAGGCTGGGCAGGGCTTAGCCCTGATGGGGTCCTGCCCTGCCCCCAGCACCACAGTGATGCTCTCATGCACATGGGAAAGGAGCAAAGTGCCCCAAATCTTTCTCAAGCCTCAGCTGCGTCATTCTCTACAGGGAAAGGTTTTCAAGACTGGAAAGGACAGGTGGTGAATACAGTGATCTCCCACCCTCAGGGTGTCTGCACACATGGGTGGAGGCAGATGCTCACAGCTGTTCCAAGGAGGATGCTTGGGACTGGGGCAGCTGACAAATCTGTGGGTTGTTGGCAGTGGGAAGCGGTGGCTGTTTTGTTACGGAGAGTGCTGTTGTGGGGCCATCACACTGCACACTTACCCCATAGGAGTCCACTATGAGCTGCAGGACGTTGCTGGAGTCTCTGGACAAGGTGCCCACAGTTGTGCCTGGGATCAGCTCGCTGTAGTTCTGTAGGAATATCATAAACAAGGTCTGTTTGTGATGGGTAAATGTGCGAAACCCAGTCCTGGAACATGAGAGCTTTGATAGGACAGACCACCAAGCCATGTCCAGCCACCCATGGCCCATCAGCCACCCAGGAGGGTGGCTTTGCAGCTGGTACCTGGTAGAGGCCAACAACCGTATCTGTCACAGCAAAGATCAAATTGATGTTCTTCTGTGAGAGTTTCTCAGTCATCAGGCCCAGAGAGGGATAGTCCTGGGGAAGAGTAGAGCTATAGCCTAGGAGCATGTACACCCCCCACCTTGGTCCCCATCGTGCTCTCCAACCATGGTGAAACACCTTTCCCATCCCATGGGGACCCAGCAGGTGCTCTGGGCTCCAAAATCCCATGCCTAGGTCAGGCTTTACCAGTGTGGTGGTGGCAGAGTAGAAATTATCCTTGTCGATGTGGCACTGGGCATCATTGGGCTGCACGATGCCAGCCAGCCGCCCGTCCAGTGCGATGTGAGTCTTCGCATCCGTGGTGAAGACGAGCAGATGGGAAGCATCATTCCTCCAGCCAATTTTTTCCTGCGGCGAAAGGCAGCTCCCAGTCATGTGTCAGAACATGCTGAGGGCAGTCCCATGTGCCAGCACCCCACTGCTGCCTTTGTGCAAGGGGTCACGGCTTGGCTGTAGAGACCAACCTCTGCACAGGGAACCAAGGCAATTGCTCTCGCAGGGAAGTGCTGTGGGAGTGGGGGATCTGTAAGGGGGCCATGGGCTGCTTGTAGGTGAAAGATGAGTTTTAATTGGTTAGAGTGTTAATCAACGTGGCTAATGACTCAGGGACACAAGATCTACAGCAAAACCAAGGTGAAGGCACAGGAGGTGCTGTCCCTTCTGGACTGGTCACTGCAGGGCTCACATGGGATTGTTCCCGAGCACCTGCTCCGCTCCTCTCCCCTACCATGATCCCATGAGAGTCCTGCTCTTCCCTTGACTATTGGGCTGGAAATGTCTCACTTGAATGTTGACCCTCTCCAGAAATCAGTCATACAACTCAACAAGGCTTACGATCATGTCCGGTGTTGGGAAGCATGAAAGTCTGACAAGAAAGTCTCACAGATATGTATGCTTGGCAGAAAGATTTTTGAATGTAGAATCTGAAGAAGGAATAGAGATGGAAGCAAGTTTTGATATAGAAGAAAAGAATTGCTGAGCCAGTCTCACTGGATAACCAAGGAGAAAAAGGATATGTTAGTTAGAAAGGGGTTTTTATGACTTAGAGCAAAGGATAAACCGACCTCAAACATGAAGATGCTTTTACCAAGCAGAAAAATAGCACAAGCAAACAAGTCAGCTGATGTTGCAAGTAGAAAAAAGGCCTCAGAATTTTCCACTGCAAGAAAACTGAAAAACAACTTCTAGCTTAAACTGTAATGTACTAACTGTTAGTGACTGGAGAATAGTGAGATGAATATGGTAATTATAGTAATTATGATAGGCTGTAGTTAAGGTGTAGATTGGTTCTACTGTACTAAGATGCTCAGCAAAGTATATAATGCATTTGTAACCTAAGCTAAGGGTCTCCAGGCCTGCCTGCAGCTGGAGCTGGCAGCTGTAGGCCCAGGCTCTGTCACCCACAACCCTGGGCTGCTGTAAGGTCTTCGATACAATAAACTGCATTTGGAAGAGCTGCCTGGAGTCCCACATCCCTCATTATGGCTCTTACAGTCTGGGAGGGATTGATTGGTCCCTGCCAACCTGCCTGGCCCAGCCTGGTGACCCTGTGCTGATCCCAGCCAGGCCTTCCTGCCCCTTACATCGCACACGGTGGCCTGGATGATGGCATCAAAGCCGCCCTCAGGTGCATCGCGGTTCCGGGAGACGCTCTGCTTCCGCACCTCCTCGTTGAAGCGAGTCACCTCATCCGTGAGTGACAGGACGTGTTTGTACCCAAACATGGGCAGGCAGGTTTCCCCGATCCTGTGGGAAGAGAGCACTCAGGGCACAGGGATCATCAGGCTCTTCCAGCTCCCATCCCTGCCCTGCAGCCATCCCACATCCCATGGTCCTGCCCAGGATGTGCTGGAGGGACCCAATGCCCCCCTCCCCCCAAGAGCCTGAGGCTGGTGAAGGATCTTTTAAATAAAATTAATGTTGTAGAGATGCTGGGCTCAGGTCAGCTCCCAGCTTCAGTCTTGCTGGGATTTTTAGGAGTCATTTTCTTCCAGCCTCAACAATTCTTTTGAAAACATGATGCAATTTTTTTTTCCCTCAACAGCTTTCCCGTGATAATGGTATTACTAATTTAGACCTGCTCCTCCTCCCTGTGCCAGCAGAACACAGACTGCACCAAGGTTTAAACCCTGTCCAGAATTAGGCACCCACTTTCTCCACTCCCCTCTTTTCCTCCCAGGCTCAACTTCACCCCCCTCCTAGTAGCACAGAGGAACAGGGAATGGGAGATTAATTCAGTTCCTAACACCTCTGCCTCCTTCCTCCTCACACTCTTTCCCTGTCCCAGCCTGTTGTCTTTCCCTTGGGAGACAACCTTTCAAGAACCTCTCAAACACAGGTCCTTTCTATGGGCTGCAATTCTTCGCCAACTGATGTGGTTTTCCAGCCACATTGCAGTAGTGTCCCATCAACTTCTGGCCCTTACAGGACTCCCTCAACCTGGACTTACTCATAGCAAGGGTTCTTGATGGCTTCTGGAGGAGATATGTACATGTAGGGGGAAATGGGTTTGTCCACAAAGGCCCCGAAGCCGATGCGTAGGTTGCTGGTGAGCTTACGCATCTCACTGGCCAGTTTTGTGCCCAGGTTCTGGATGTTCCTCAGATCATCCTTCATTGAGTTAGACAGGTCCATGAGGTAGTAGATGTCCACAGGGTAATCTTCCACTTGACGCACTTGGACATGAAAGACCTGGGAGTCATCTGCAAAGTGACAGGGCAGTAGAGTGAGATCTCGTCCCCTGGAAAGAGGGGGGCTTACCACAGGATTAGTGAGGAGAGGTCAGCAGGAACCCAAGGGGATGGTTAAAGCTTCTAGGAGGAGAACATTACACTTAGACAGAGGGGAAAAGCTCTTAGTCAGGTTCTTGCACAGGAGATGTGCTGTGCACCCCTTGGAAGTGTCCAAGGCCAGGTTGGATTGAACTTGGAGCAACCTGGGATAGTGGAAATTGTCCCTGCCCGTGGCAAGGAGTGGAACAGCATGGTCTTCAAGGTCCTTTCCAACCCCAAAACCATTCTGGAATTCTATGGCAGATGGGGGTTATGTCTCCTGCTCTCCTAAACTCTCAGTGCTGGGACATGAGCAGATCTTCCTGTCCAGGGTTGACCTTTCAAGATATCCTACAGGAACAGCTGGATGGAGTGAGGGAAACCCCCAGTGTGTGGGCAGCAGGTCTTAAAGGGATCACAAGGCAGGGTTCAAGGCTTCTTCAGAGTTCTCAGCTTCCAAGGACTCTGATCATTTTCTGCACCTTCCTCAAACCCTGTTCTTTCCTCTCCTCTTGGCTCTCCCAGCCCCTTCTGAGAAAATTTTGGTGAAACATTTCCCATTGAAACAAAAACCTCCAAAAACCTTCTGGAAAACATCCCAGTTTTGATGACTTTTGCACAAAAAAAAAAAAAAAAAAGCTGAAAACACTTAGGGTTGACCTTTTCTTTCTGCCTTTTTAAGAGACACAGGTCCTTTCTTCTGATCTTTGAAATGGTTTCTTTGAAACATAACCCAGGGCACAGCTGCAGCCTTGTCGGAACACCTCATATGTTGAGAAAAAAGGCCTTAACTGAGCTTAAATTATTATTGTTTTCACATTTCTGTCTAAATCTGCACACCATGTTCTTTCAGGATGGAGAAAGTTTCAAAATTTATGACAGCCCAAAAAGCTTCATTCCCTCTCCAGCTGTGCTGGGAACTCACCGTGGAGCCAGGGGTCCCATTTTTGTGCTTAGAGAGCAGCTGTTTGTTCTCATTGAGCTGAAACCATGAGGATTCTGAGCTTGTGGAACATGAGCTGTGACCTGTCCTGCTTGTATCCTTTGTGATTTGGTCTTGGTTCATGAGTCAAGGCAGATGACTTATGCCAAACCTTCTTGGTTTGGCAGAGATGGTATCAAGCTGGGGGTCTCTCCTCTTTATTCCAAGGAACAGGGATTTACAGCACTCAGAGCAGCATACTCACCTTCCTCCTGACAACAACCTTCAGAGCTAAAGAGAACAAGGGCCACTTAAAAGCTCCATGTCCTGACTGTGTGGGGATTCCTCTGGCTGCTGTCCTTCCAATGGGGCAGGACTCCTCCTGCCCATGCCCAGGGATGTGCACAGAGGCCATGTGCACTATAGTTTTGCCTCCTGACTGGCATCCTTGAAACTCCTGGATGCTGGCAAAGGACCAGAGCAGTTAATTGGCTCCAGCCTGCCTGGCTGAGCAGAGCCTGGGATATTACAGGGATCTGGTGGCAGCCCAACCCTGGTAGCTGCTCTGTGGCTTGTTAGATATGAGCTGACTTCCACCCAGGCATTCTGAGCACAGCAGCAGTGCCTCAGAACGGCTTTATAGAATACCCCATGTGTTGTTGAAGTCGCATCCTCTCCTACCCCTCACACACCTCAGGACTGAGGCAAGAGAACGAACACAGAGATCAGAGAGCTCAGCTGCCCACCAGAGATGTTCTGGAGGATTCTGTGCTGCCATCAGCCTGGCCTTGTCCCTAAAGGACAAGAGACCACCTCGGCCAGTGAGGCAGAGTGATGGCTCAATCAGTGCCTAAGCCCTTTGGGTTATTCCCACTGCATCTCCCCTTCCTACAGCAGTCTGGGGGCTCTTACCTGGCCGCAGGTTCAGCTGTATTCTCTGGGGGCTCATCTGGGTGGTGGTGGACCCCCCTGAGCCCTTGTTGCTGAGGGGCCGGTCCTCCAGGACGGTGACGCTGCTGCTGGGGGACTCGATGTGGTCCTGCCTGCAGCCGTTGTGCAGGAGGTTGGCACGCAGGTCACAGCGAGGGGTTGACTGTGCCCAGACCTGCGGGAGAGGGACACAGTCAGGAGCCTCCCAGGACTATGCTGGGAGAAGGAGAAAGGCCCCCACCTTTTCCGTGGAGAGCCCCTGCTTTACCACACCTAACTCCAGAACAGGATCAAAGGCTTCTTGAGGCACATGGTCTCTTGCCTGAGGAAGGCAGCAGACAGATGGAATTTGGGATCAGCAACTCCTGCTGGAGCAATTCCTGCAGGAGCCCATCAGCCCTTGCCAAGGAACGATGGATAACACATCCCTGCCAACCTCCTCCTGACTCCTGGCAGCTGGAGCCTTAGGTTTGGGTTTTGGCAGAGCTAAGAGGAAATCCCTTCTCTCTGGGAAGGCTAGAGGAGGGTGAGGCAGGATGTGAACATGGCAAGCTGAATAGAGGCAGTGTGGGACTTTTAAAATTATTTACTACTTTGACAAAAGACAAATCACCTTTTCCCCCATTTTTCCAACATGGGCCCTTAGAAATCCTGTCATGAACAAGGAGAGTGTCCACTGTGGGTGAGCTCATTGCACAGAGCAGTGCTCAGTTCCTGTCTGGAAGTGGATCAGACTTATCTCCAGCACTCCAGCTTCCTAATGGATGGAGCTGACTGGGGAAAGGAGAACCAAAAAAGGAGTGAAAGACTGCAAAGGCACTGGGGCTGCGGGAAAAGCCTTGAAGAGCCTGTCAGGGGTAGGAAGCACAAAGTGTGGAGTCATGGTGAGCTCCAGCCTTGTCCCTCCTTTCCTAGAAAGCTTCTGTGTTATCACAGAACATTCAGGAGGGTTCCTATTCCTTTGGTTGCTTATGAAGACAAATATGGGAAGAATTTCTCTCCCAGCCCAACACTGCTGTGATCTGCTGCCTCATGTTCCTGCTGAGGGAGCACCTGCCCTCCCCTCCAAAGGGATTCTTTACCTCCCTCCCTCAGCCCAAATCTTTCTATATTAGAGTCCTTCAGCAGAGGACGACCACAGCCTCTTCCTGCAGCAAAGGGATGTGGCACAAGTCCTGGTGGGGCTGGTTCAGTGCCCTCCCTGCTGCTGGGATGCTGGAATCCACTGCTGAGCCTTCCAGCGCCAGAGAGGTTCCCATGCAGGGTATCAAATGCCCTGAACTGGGTTCAGGCTGGTTGAACCCAGGGATGAATTTGTATGTTTTATGCAAACGAGTAGAAAAACACAAATGTTGTCAGGAGGCCCTGGCTGGCCCACAGCCCTCTGGAAACTGTGGCCAAGCGAAAGCCAAAAAATACATCAGCAGGCGTGTTCCTACCCTGCCCCCGCCTGGGCAGTGTGCTGACAGAGAGGAGGACGAGTCATCCCTCCAAATTAGCTCCCTCACACCCACCCACCCATGAGCTTACTCCACAGAGCTCCCTACTGTGGGAAGGGGTGGCTGGTTCACTCCAGATCGATCAATCATCACGTACATTCCTGTCCCAGTCACGGAAATCACTGAAAAAATATGTGGGTGAAAAGCATGCTAGGCAGGTGGGTTTTAACCATGGTGCTCAGTGATACCTGGAGATCCTAGGGAGCTCCCAGGAGCTCAGAGGCCTCATGGGATTTACAGCATCATTCCTGCTGTGAGATTTCCATGGAGAAACTGTTTAACCCCAGGGCTGCATCCTTCCCCTTTCTTTGGAGTCCTACATATAGTGACTGACTCAAGACTTACAGGAGCCTTCCCAACAAGAAAAAACTACTACAAAAGTGGGACATTTGGCTACAAGGCCCTGGCAGCCCCCAGTCTGTTTTTGACCCCGGGCTCTGCCACTTTGCTGATGCAACACCTGGGGCACAGCCCTAGTTAGGAGTGACCTGGAGGCAGCCCAAGCTTGCTGGTGACAAACTCACAGTACAGGGATTTCATCCATGAGAAACCCATTCCCTGTCAGCACAGCCCTGATGGCACCCTGCAGGGAGCTGTGGGGACACGTGTGCACCCTCTCTATCCCAGCCATCCCACAGCCCTTCCCAGAGATGCTCGCCAGCTCTCCCTGCCCTCTGCCCCACTGCAGAGCAAACATCTGCACACACTCCCTTCAGAATGGCAAACCTGGTTATTTTATCCCAATCACTGCCTCCAGAGCTGATTAGTGAGGGCAGGGTCAGGCAGGGCTCTGGCAGAGCCGGTTCCATCCCTGAGCTCCCAGGGTGGCAGCCTGTGGGAACTTGTGTATTCCCCAGGGCATCTCTGTTTTCATCTCAGACACAACCACATGCAGCATCAGCTTCTCTGCAGGACAGCTCTTGGGAGTGCTCAGAGCACAGATACCTCCACAAATTAAGCTAAAACCTTCCAGCAGCTTCTCTGAAATCCAAATCTGGTCCAGTCTAGCCTCCAAGAGACCCAGAGGGGGTGACATTTTGGGTGGTGAAACCATGAAGGAAATCAGGAGGCTGGAGGAAATCCTGCAGATCCTGATAGGCTGGTCACATAATCTCCAAAGGGGTTTTAGAGATATGTCTCAGTGTTACAGCTTGGCTGGCTTTTTCCAGAAAAGCAGATGAGAACATCTATTTGCTGGTAAGAGTGGTCAAGGTTTCTGAAAAATAAATAAAACTCAACTCTGCTCTGAGGGGTGGTGGTGATCACACCACAATGAAATCCTTCTCCAATCCAAACCCAGAATGGAGCAGGAGTAAATCATCACCCCAGGCTCCTTGGGAAGGCAGTGTGAGTGGAAAAGGGCTGTAGTGGGAGCAGAAGGAGCACAAATATGGGCACTGTCCCTTTAAAACCCGGGGGGGGTGCAGTATCAGAACCCTCCCCCACCCTAGGGAAATTAAACAAACCCACAGAAAAAACCCTCATTTGCTAAATTAAGACAACGTGGTCCAGATGTTGGAGGCAGAGTTGCTGAGCAGAGCACACAGCCCAGCTCTCGGGGGCTGGCTCTCAGCAGGACGGCTCCCTCACTCCTGCCGAGTCTGCCGGGAGCGCAGCTCGGAGCAGCACTGGAAATATTTCCTTTTTTGGAAGCCTTTGCTGTTCTGCAGGAAAAAAAAACCCATCACGGCTCCCTGTGCACCGTCAGGCCACCAGTGCAGCCCAGGATCAGCGGCTGGGAAGGAAGAGCCCACGGAGGGGGGAATGGAGAGGGAAGGCAGGCCCCTTATCAAGCTGCATGTTTTAGCCACTCCTTTCGGGAGATAAGATGGGCACAAACATCTTTATTCACACCACATGCCAAGCGTCAGATCTGATGGGCAGCAAGCCAGAGGCCTCCCCTCTGGATATGCATTGACCCCAAAGCATTAGACAATTGCTGGCATGATCGAGCAGCGTTTCCCAGCTTGGATCACTTTTCCCAGATCTTTTCCAAGTCCCAGTGGGCATTACGGGCACAGTTGCAGCTGATAGAAGTGGGTCTTCAAGGATAGAGAAGAAGAAAGCAAGGAAAGCCTTGAAAGTTTCATCAGTTCTCCCCATCCCCATCACCTCCCTTGGCTCTGCCCTGGGGCTCCTCTCCCATCCCCTTGGGAAACTCCCTCCTCTTACCCAATGGACTAACCCCCAGGGCAGCATTTTTGGAGGGTAACGTGGCAGATCTGCTTGGCTCTCACCTACCCAAATATGACGATTCGAGAGCACTCACATCCACTTTAGCTTAGTAACCAGAACCAGGCACCTTGTCTTCTCCCCTTATTTCTAATGAAAAAGGCTTTAAAACCCAGCCATTAAATTCTGATGAGTATTTTTGATTCCTCCTTGCAGACCTTCCAGACCTCCTTCCCTTTTCAGCCCTTCCAGGAATTAGGCTTCTTCAGCCAGCGCTTTACAACAGGTTTCCAAGAAGCAAACCAAAAGTAAACCAACTTTTAAAATGTACATTATTTGAAAGATAAAGTGAATTCCTAGTGGAAACACCACAATTTCCCAGCCAGCTCAATGTAGCTCCCACCAACACACCCAGATAAGGGGCATGTTTTTGGAGCAGGGAAGAAGCAGTGCCCACTGACCAAGTGCCTTGAGCTGAGGTTCTGAGCCAGGTGCCACTAAGGAATCTGTTTAGATACAGTGGGAACTGATGGAGACTAAGCTTGTGGCTGTAAACTAGACTTATCCCAAAGGTTCTTCCCCTGCCCTTCTCAGGGCCCTTCTCAGCCCCAGCTCTTACCTCAGCAGAGCACCAGGCGCAGAGGGGACTGACAGCCAGGCACTGCTTGCAGGAGTTCACCCCACGGGTGGTGCAGATGTTGCCCCCTGAAACAGCAAAACAGAGCAATTACAGCCCACAGAACCCAAACTCACATGTGTGCTCAGCCACCAGCTTCTGAGCAGCCAGAGCTCCACCAGGGCCCTTCTCTATCCCTTTTCCCACCTCAAACCCTGGATGTTGCCTCCTTGCTGTCTCCAGCCTGGTATGAGCTGGGCTTCATCTTGCCCAAGGCTGAGCATCATTCCCTACCTGCGACCTCCTCAAAGGGTCCTCTCACCCCTGCAGCATCACATGGGTGTTGGAGTGAAGCCCCCTGGCAGGGGGTTCATGTATCCTTGCAGACACTCCTGCAGACACTTTGGGGCAGCAGGAGTGGAAAGGGTGAATTCCCAAGGGTGCAGGGTGGTATCCACAGTCCTGCCAGGGATTGTCTGCCTCTTCCCATCACCTTGACCCAGGGTGGTTGTTGACACCTTGAGCAGACACTAAACTCAGTGGCTGGTCTTGGCGAGGCTTCTAATCCAGCAAAAGGAGGGGAGTGAAAGGGCACAAGTCCAGAAATGTGCTGGTGGTGGCTGGCACCAATGTCCCAGGAAAGCTTGGGCTCTGTCAGAGGCTGTGGGGACTCTGGGAGATACCTGCTGCTACCAGTCCTGAAGGTCAGAGGCCAGTGAGCCTGTGGGAGAGAATTAAAGGGCCACAAAATGCCTGTGGAGCCCAGGGACAGGAGGATCTCCTCTGACACAGACCAGAGGGGGTGGCCCTGTGGTTCCTGCTGCCAATGGCCGATGTGACAAGTGGCTGGGACATCGCTGCCGTGGCGTCACCCTTGGCTCTTCCTCCCTCCCGGGCACAAGCATCTTAGCAGTTTTAGGATTCCCCAGGCAGAGAAAACTACAGCCAAGTATCCACTTGGCTGGGACACACAGCAGCGGGGGAGCCTGGGGGATGCTGGTGGGGAGCAGTGGGTACTAGGGCCTTCCCCTCTGCCCTGTGTGCCCCCATGGTTGCCCAGGGCTGTCCCAGCAGTGTCCCACAACCACAGGAAAGGGAACACAGAGCAGAAAGAGGAAATGGTGAAACAACATCATCAGATCTTTGAGCAGAACCACAACTACAGCACCGTTCACTCCTGCTTGCTGGCACGTAGCCAGGGAGTGTACACACGTGTTCACACGTGTGTGTGTCTATTGGAGGGTGGTGTCACAGGCTGTGGCTGTCCCAGGGGCCAGCAGCTGCTTGGGGATGTGCCCCAGAGTGTCCCCATCACACATATGACACCTGCAGTTCCCACTTGTCCCAGATTAAACTAAAGGCTGAGCCCAAGTGCCTTGCTTAGCACCAGTTTTGGGGCAGCACCCATGCCCAGAGCTCTCATCATACCCTGAAATACCTGGCTCCCTGTGAGGATGGGACAGATTTTAAACGTTACATTGCCCAGAAGAGTGACAGGTTGGTCTGCAGTACTTCCTGCACCTCAGCCATGTGCCAGGAGCAACACTGGTCCTTGGGTGGACAGGGCTAGGAAGAGGGAAGGCAAACGGCTCTCTGAAAATAGCAATGACAGCACCATCTCCCACGACTCTCGCCGGCTCCTGTTGTGTCCATGTGAAATCCCTCCTGCCCTGCCAAGTGCCGCTGGCTGCAGCCAGAGCACGTGCCCTGGATTTGTGCTGTGCTGTGCAGCTGGGAGCCAGCTCAGCCTGGGCAGCAGGGAGGCACTGCCCAGACAGCCTCAGGGACAGGACAGCCCTGGCAGCTCCAGGTGCTCTGGACTAAATGCTCAGAGCTGCCAACCCCGGGGCCACTTGCCTGAACACAGAAACAGCTTCCAAATCTGCAGGTCCCCGGGGAGCCCTGGCTCTTTGATACTGGACCAGGATGACAGCTGATGGGGAGAGGTGCCAGGTACCCGCCTGCCACAAGCCAGGAGTATCCCTGCTTTCCACTCTCACATCCCTCGTGTGGTGGTCATGTCTAGCTGCTGGCTTATAACTGTGGTTGCTCAGCTCTGCTCAGGCAGTTACAGCACAGAGTGCCACCAGCAACACTGCTGCTCCAGTCTCCTGTTTAATGCCAGTGTGGGTTTTGTCCCCTCCTGGGGGGTTTTATCTGGTTTAGTCACCTGGCTGTGCCCCAGCACCCACCTTGCTGGGCAAGGGCAGAGCTGACAAGGGCTCCATGAGGGCTCTGGAACATGAGACTCACCAGTCCAAATCCTGCCTCAAACAGGTTTTCCCTGTGACTAGACCCAGTCCCTCAGCCACTCCCTGCCTCAGTTTCCCCTGTGCAGTGGTAACCCTGGTCTCAATGAGACCAGGTTCCACTAAAACTCCATGTGGAGGATTCCAGGGTCATGTCTGCTGGCAGAGCCCCAGGGTGCCTCCTCATGCCATGAAATCTGATCTTGAGGCGAAGGAGGCCCAGGACCCTCTGAGCTCATCTGCTCCTCACCACTTGGTACAAATTACCTCCTGCTTGTGTGCAGCCCCTGGACCCTGGTGGTTTCCTTTCCTTCTGCTGCCACCCCAAAACCCAGGGGTTCTTTATCTGTTGTCCCCTCTCTTTGCTGGGGATGTAAATCCAGTCTTCTGTAAATCTGGTGGATTTTGAAATGAGGGCCATAGACCTGGCAGAGCACTGTCATGGCTAGGGAGCCGCACATGGCCTCAGGTGGGGCCGCAGCTGGGAAGTCCCTGTGGGAGGGATGCTGCCATTCCCAAGACTGCCCTGGGGTCTGATGTCACATCATGCCACCGTGCCATTGCTGGTGGCTTTGCCTGGGGCTCCCTGGAGGTCTGTATCTGCTCCCAGACTCACACAGCCTTGTGGTCCCTGTGGTGTCCATCACTCCATGACCAAGACACTTTCCTGGGGATGGAGGATCCTTCTCTCCCTTGAAACCAATCTCCAGCACTGTACAGGGCCATTCTTGGTTGCTTGGGGCTGGATGGAGCAGGACCTGGGCAGTTATGACCATCCAAACATGAGGCTGGTCCTGATGTGAGCAGGTAACTGCACACCCCCACCACAGGGAAATGTTCCTTTTTTGGCATTCCCAGCACTGGTTGCATGGCTGGATGCAGGGATGCAGTGTTAGGAGATTTTTGTGGGAGCAGGGATCCTGTGAGGATGTGGGAACAAAAGCACAGATGGGCAGAAGTGGAGGATGTGGAGGAGGTGGAGGATGTGAAAGATGGGGAGGATGTGCAGCTGGAGTTCTCTCAGGTTTTGGCCCTGTGAGTGCCTGGCAGTCCTTCCCAGACTCGGACACTACCTGGCTGTGAGCAGGTCAACGCCATCCCAGTACAGCCTATACTAACAAATTCTGTATTTTTAGTGACTTTTTTTTTTTCCCCCATCTTTGGAGCTTTTTTCCTTGCCATAAAAACTAATAAACCCAAGTACAAAACCTGCATTTTTGAACTATGATAGCAGCTTCTTTTACACAATGAGCTAATCCTAAAGACTCCAGTTTTTTTAAAAAAAGCAATCCAGAAATACAAGGAAATGGGAGATAAACTGCACATAATGATGGGAACCACCCAGGTGGGGCTGGGCAGAGCTGTGGTCCTGAGGGAGGTGAAAGCAGGGAATCCCAGACTAGTCTGGATTGGAAGTGACCGTAAAGCCCATCCAGTTCCACCCTTGCCATGAGCAGAAACACCTTCCACTAGACGAGGCTGCTCCAAGCCGCATCCAGCCTGGGATTGAATTTAGGGAAGTGATGGACTTGAAAGACCCCAGACGTCTGTGGCTCAGCATCACCCTGTCCTGACTGGAGAAAATTACTCAGTCCCAGTCTGCACTCAGAGTACCCTCCGAGTGGTGCAGGAGCAGCCACACTTTGTTTTCCCCCTCTGCCAAATTGAGCAAGAATGAGCACAGAGAAAACCTGATAAAGACATTTGAGGAAACTTGATAAAGGTACAAACCACATCCTCTCCAGCCTTTCTGTTTGGCTAAGTGATAAGGATCTGGGCTTTCTGGCAGATCCCCACCCTACCATTCTGGGGGTGTTTCTTGTCTCAAGCCTCTCCCTTCCTGCCAGCATCTTCCTGGAAATGGGATGCCCCAAACTGAGCACAGGCACCAGAGATATGTGCACAGCCCCAAATTGCAGCTCTGTGAACTCAAACTCCTACCGGGGTTATCCCATGTCTTGTGCTGATGACAGCTCCATCCGGCAGCAGATCAGAGCCTCAGGCTGTTCCTGGGAATTCACTAAAGTCTGGAATTCTTTAGACAGAACAATGTTGCCCCAAACCCCAAGTCTGGCCATGAAAACAATGTGACCGATTTATAAATCACCATACTGCAGTTTCTAGATTCCCTTTGAGGCCGAGTGACTAGGAACACACCTGGGGAGGAGATAATGCTCTTCCAGGCTTTTCTGTACTTCTGACATTGGAAAACTATTTAAAAACACAAACTACATTTATCCTGAGATCATACGATGCCAGAAATCAGATTTCTTAAAGAAAAGCATTAAAAATCCATGAGAAAAATAACACAGGACAGCAATGCTGACACAAATGCCCCCTCCCCCCCGCCCTTAAAATGTACTGGCACAGGGAGGAATTACCTGACGTGATTTCTCCCAGTGAATTTTCTGTTTATAAAGGATGAAGCCCAAGTCACACCCCAGTCATTGCATTACAAACCAGTAACCAGAGCCAAACACAGAGTAGGTAGATCCACTAAGATCTACCACATCCAATAAGAATAACCCACCAAAATATGTCTTGACTCTATAACATCCTTGAGAAGTTCCTGGCCCCGACCCAGACGAAGCCCGACCGGCGTGAGCAGCGCTTCCTAAGTGGGAACGCGCTGCAGCTCAGGCTGCCAGCTCCCCCTCCGAGTGATTTTCCCATGAAATCACAGACCCTGGGAAGGCAGAAAGTCCTGGGATTTGTAGAAGTAACAGGCAACAGTTTCACTAAATGGCTATAAGCGGTGACACAAGCGACAGAGCGAACCTACCCCAGTTGCCAGTAGCGCAGAGCAGGAGGATCCCGAGCGGCACGGAGAGCTGACCCATCTTCTCTGAGCCCCGGGGTGGGGGCACTGCGTGGACCAGCCCCCCAGGAGTGATGGGCAGCGGCTCTGGAGTAGCTGGAGGCTTTTAGCGGCTGAGAAGATGAATCATAGGGCTGGGTGAGTGACACACATGGCGAGTGGGGCGGCCGGAGGAAACTGCTGCCTCGTCACTTCGGAGTCCGGAGTGTCCCCGCCCGGTCTGCCGGCAGCTCCTTATGAGGTTTTCACTCTCTAGGCTTAAACAAGGACCTAATAAACCCTGGCAGCGAGTCCTTCCTCGGCACTGGTGACCTGCAGCCCCGGGGCTCGTAACAGGCTCTTTCCCATAGGCTCTTCCGCCTGGCTTTAATTCCTTACAAAACCTTGCTCACTCCTTCCTTTTATTAACTCTTGAAAGGCAGCTGGTTTTAAAACCCGTCCGAGCTGCTGGAGTTCAAGGATTTAAGGAGAAATAGAGCAAATACACACTAATACGAAAGTGTGGGTTCTCAGCTCCCCCACCAGAGAGGGAATATCCCTGCTAAAGCAGAGCTGGGAGCAGAGGGAGACCCAGCCAGGAAGCACACCTGATGGAACCAGCAGTTTGGATATAAACCTGGACATCTCAAAGGGAGGAAAGCTCAGCTTGGGGTCACATAATTTGGACCTGATTTTCTTCTCGCTTGTATTGTTTTTTCCTCTCTGTGTCCTTAGGAATCGATCCTGTGCTGAACAAATCCAGGGATTGGGATCTGCACAGGGACTGTGCCCACTGAAGCATCAGAACTGCCTGTGGGTGTCTCTCAAAGGTGTTTTATAAACCTCTCATTCTCCTGCAATACCAGGGTTGTAGTCAGAGCTGAGGGAACTGAGGCATTGGAATAAACTTTGGGAACAAAAGGGAGAGAAAGGCTGGAGTAATTTCCCTGGGATACTCTTTCCCACTGGGTGACAGGGTTGGGGACAATAATGACACAGCCCTGGGTCAAGACAACCCAGCACACAGAAATACCAAGCTGTGGAATACAAGTTTTTGTGGGTGCCAAGAGCTGCAGCCACATCCTGAGGTGCTGGAGGCTGCAGATGTGCAGAGCTGTACAAGAGCCACAGCCTCATGCTGGGAGATGAGGATAACAGCACTTGTCCCAGACCAGGCAGCTGTCCACAAGAGGTAACAGTTTTTGTGAAAATGAGGTAGAGATACAGACTCTTCCTCAGGATCTGGGGACTTTCCTTGGCTTTAAAAGAAGTTTTGGCGCCTCTTTGCTTCTCCACACTGCCCCCCCAACCTCGAGGATCCAGCTGTCCTCCTCAGTGGGGATCACTGTCCAGCTGGGATCCAACTCCCTTCCTAGGGCTTGTTATTGAAGATTTGGCAAAGGGGAGAAGCCCATCAACCCTCATGCAGTATCAAATAGGGCTGTACCTTGCCTGAGACAACAATACAAACCCCAAACCTGTTTTTGGGCATCTCCAGTCCTGCCCTGTTTCAGATCCTGGAGCCATATCTCACTGCAGACCCCATCAGCCAGTGTTAGGGCACCCAAATTCCTTATTCTCCTGCCTGGACATGCTGCCTATGTGGCCTTTCCCATCACGTGGGGCTTTCTGCCCATACGGTTGCCTGTCCCCCTGTGCTGCGCTGTGTCATCCTGTGACTGTGTCTGAGTGTTTCATGGAAAGGAAGATTAGTCTTACAGTCTAGAGAGGACTATGGCATCCCGTTTGGCTCTGCACACCCCCAGACCCACCCTGCCATCCATCTCCCAGGCCCCCTTCACAGAGACTCATCCTACCCAGCTCCTGGCTACCCAAACTGGCAAGTGCTGCTGCTCCCAAAGGACATGTTGCTCTGTGTGTCCTGGAATGCCCTGCCCCGTGTGGGCTGTGATACTTTCAGCATGGTGCAAAAACGCCTAAAGAAAAACGAAAAACTCACAAAATGAAGTATTTGACCTGCCTTCACCTTCCTGGGCTGGTCCTGTCTGAGGACAAGGATGGAATGAACTCAATCCAAGATGTTTGGATGGAATTTGCCTGCAAGATGCAAGAAGGTGCTCCTTGTCCTAAAATCATTGCTGGGATGTGAATGTCCCATCCCTGGAAGTGTTCAAGGATAGTTTGGACAGGTCTAGCAGAAGATATCTTTGCCTGTGACAGGGTGTTAGAATGACTTAAGGTTCTTTGCAACCAAAACCATTCCTAGATTCCACAATGTTACCTCCAGGCACTGCATAATAGGCAGTGGGATGCTCCAGATTTTGGGGTCCCTGATGGGATGAAGGCAGAAGCCAGCAGGGTAGTGTTTGGGAGCCCTGGCTGAGCCATCACCACAGGCTGTGACCCAGGAGCAATGGGTGCAGCCCAAATCCATGCTTGGGTGTGCTGGGAGAAGAGATGCTGGAGCTGGAGCCACCAGAGGGAGCAGAAACTCCTTCAGTCTGAGAGCATGCAGGGAGAGGATCCCCAATGCCAGGCTGGGGCACTGGGGATGCTCTGATTTCCTGTGGGATTGTCCCAGACTAAACACAAGCAGATGCTCCTTGGATCAGGGTTTTCTCCTCCTTCCTGCATAACTTCTGCTGCAACTGCCCTAGCAGAGTGGGGAGCAACCCGGAGAGAAATGCTAAATCCAGAACAAGGAGGAAAGTGCAACAAGTAAACCCTGAATTGAACATGTCTGAGCCCCTAAAGTCACAGCAGCAGACCAGGGGATCCCAGCTGCCCAAAAGGAAGATCACTTGACACTGTCCCTGCCAAGCTGCCCGCCACCCTCAGCCAGCCACACATTCCTGACTTGAGCTACAACTCATCAGTCCTCATTTTTGTTTGATTAAAATCCCTTCAAAGGCTGGGCAAAGGAAACAAGCCAGTATGTACATGGATAAACCAGGGCAAAGTCCTCACACCGTACTTTGGGGGTGATTTGCTACTCTGGGCCATCCAGACAGATTTCCAGGCAAATGCCAATGGGCAAAGCCAGGAAGCTTGGACATGGCAGTCCTGTGGGCACAGACCTGGGATGAGCAGGAGTAGGAATGAGCCTGACAAGCTGGACACCCTGACTCGTGGTGTCACTTTGGAAGCTTATGCAGACACAGAGAGGGGAGTGATGGTGAAACTTCCCCTGGAATTGCTATGGTGGGGCTAAGGGGCCTGTGATGCTCTGGCCCTGGATGCTGCAGTGGGACCCAAAACTGGGGACAGAGCAGAGATCAGGGTGGAGTGCCTCCCTTTGGAGGAGCTAAAGTGAGAAGGGGAGGAGAGGGAGACCATGTGCCCAGAGGAAGAAGCCCCCAGCCAGAGGAAAGGATGCAGAGAGGGCCTGTATCCAGCTCTTCTCTGGAGGCACAGGACAGGCATCATCAAGCAGAGCTGGGGGTGGACTGGCTAGATAGGGCCACGCTTCTCAGAGAAGGAGTGGGTGGCACAGAGCAGCAAGAGGAGATCGGTGACAGCAGTGCTGACCTGAGGCTTACAGGAGCCTTCGGGGGAACAGGGACCTGCCAGCAGTCCAGGATGAACACTCACCATGCAGGATGCTTTTGGGAGCAGGTGGGAGGGCTGGAGGGAGGGATGAGCTAGGTACCACTCTGCAGGGCTTTAGGGGTCAGCCCCCAGCTGGGGGTGGCATAGGGGTGGGTGTGGGCACCCGTGGCAGGGCAGAGATGGGGTGTGCAGCATGGGGAAGGGGTGGGCAGCAGGGCGAACATGGAGGGGGAGGAAGGCGGGCCTGGGGGAGGCTGGAAGGGGGTGGAGTTGCTGTTTTTTCTTTGAGCACGGTGAAGACTTTAGCTTGTAACTTGCATTTGTGGAGCTCCCAGCCGGCAGACACCAGCTCTCCTTCCAGCAGGAGAAACCCCGGGATCTGGCAGCACTGCTTTGCTGTTTTGGGGGCAGGTTGTGAGGGCAGGGGGCATGGGGTGGACCCCGGCTGCCATCCTCTCCCCCAAATCCCTTTTTCCTTTTCTCTTTCTCTCCTTTTGCTTGTCTGGGGGCTCGTGCTAACGCTCTGCCAGGAGAGATCTGGGATCCAGACATCTGTCGGCTGCATGGACTGGCTTCCCACCTGCTCACAGCCTTGAGGAAGTTCCCTCTTCATCCCGGGCACTGAGAGAGGAAAGGCAGGAGGTTGCTTGGAGCTGCCGAGCTCTGACCTGTGAAGGGTGGACAGGGGGACAACAAGCTTCCCTTTTACCTTTCCTGAAGATTTGGGGTCACACATAGACCATGAATGGATCCTTTTTCAACCAGACTCTCCTGGAGCAGGCAGCTGACCCCAACAGGACTCAGGGCTTGGGGATGCTCATGGCCTGCTGCAATGGGACCAGCACGGTGCTCGCGACTGATGGCGGCTCCTTGGTCCTGGCACCTGATGAGAGGAGCCTTTTCATCACAAGGGTGGTGCAGATTGCTGTCCTCTGCGTCCTCTCCTTGACTGTGATGTTTGGCATCTTCTTTTTGGGCTGCAACCTGCTCATCAAGTCGGAGAGCATGATTAACTTTCTGGTGAAAGACCGAAGACCTTCCAAGGACGTGGGTGCTGCAATCATGGGACTGTACTGAAGCCACCGGGCTCTTGTAGGCAAGTGAACTGTATGGACCTGGTGTTGAGATGCACATTCCCATGTGTTTGGGGCAACTGGGGGGAGTGAGAAGGGGAGGAGGGGCCTTTTCGTCTGTCTGTGTCCATGGGAAAGCAAACCTGTTCTTCCCAGTCAACAAAATGTGGTGGCGAATGGGGAAACCACCCCAGAGCTGTGTGAAGCACAATAAATGACCAGCATTGTGCTGCACACAGAAATGGCTTAAGTTTTGCATGAAACTTGCAGAAACAGTGATAGTGTGGAGATCTGGACTCCTTACTGCTGTTACCTTGGATACCGCTACCTGGGATTCAGGGCTAAAAAAAAAAAAAGGCAAATAAGTCATTACAAAAAGAAAACAAAAGAACAAACTAATGGGAGAGCAAAATACAGGGCACAGACCTCATCTTTGAGAGGGGCAGGGGAAGGGAAATGCTGTGTGGGTCATAAAACAAAGTCTGCATGCTAAAAAATGTCAGTCTGTAGTGTTTTGGACCTCGAGCATGCATCTTCTGGTAGTTTTGTAACAGGAAAAGCATGTTGTTCCTTATTTTCATGACCTATCCTGTTAAATAAACTGGCACTTTCTTCTTTTATGCTCTGGTGGAGGAAGAAAAGAACACGGATAAATATAAACCCCTTTCCACCCTTAAAACAAAAGCATGCTTGTTTTTGTACACACCAGCCTCTTTTTCCAAGTGCTACATTGTTACAGTCTT